CATAAAGGAACAGAACAAAAAGGAGAAACTTATAAGAGACAAATAATGTAATATAAATGAGTTTCTTACAACAGTGTCTCCTGATCTAATCCGACCCACGGCCCTTTGCTGCATGTCAGCCCTTCTTTAACTCTTTCTGTCTCTTTGGCAGTTCTACAAAAAAAGGCAAAAGGCCAAGAAATATCTTTATTATTATTATAATAATTACTTTGTTGTGTCTTTAGGGAGAACACTAAAGTGTGGCACAGCATTACATGTAGCAAAGGGCTCTTGAAAGCTGCTTCAAAAATAATATATGAATGTCTTAAGCAAAAGTGGCCCCACTACACCAGCTATGAGCCAATTATTTTCTTAGGCAAAGGATTGGGCAGTTCCTCTTTGAGTGGTTTCATTTTAAATTCTTCAACCGCTAACAAAAAAATTGTAAATTCACCACCTCCAAATAATTAACGTTGAGTAGGTAGGGTGACCAGATGTCCCGCTTTGCTGCACAGCATTTTCACGACTTTTGGTGCGTCCCGCAAATTGAGACGATGTCCCGCATATTTCATTTTGATTGGCTAAAACGCTTTTCGAAAATCTGATTCATGACAAATCAGATGCGGAGAAAGGCCGGCTCGGTTCGCTGACGGCCGTCACTGCCCTGTATTATTATATGTAAGAGCGTCCGTAGTGTCACTTCCCCCCCCCCCCGCTGACAGTTGTTCACCAGCGTCCATAGTGTCTCTCCGGCCGACCCCCCCCCCCCCCCCCGGCGTTCACGCGTCGACATTGCATTTACATGTCCCACATTGTCCCACACAAACATACTCTCTGTCCCACTTGTGGCTTTCTGGCACCTGGTCACCCTATGAGTAAGCCAACTTAATTACTTACAACAATGAAACGAGCAGCCGCGTCATTGATGAGAAAGTGAGCCAGACTTTGGACGACCAGCTGGTGGCAGAGTTCTTCAAATCCCCAGTGAGGGGATCAAGGGTCAATGAGAGCACTGACATCCGTCACCAGGAAACTGGGACTTTGAGGTGAGATTACTGCTGTTAAACAACATGGATATATTTATTCTGAATATAATTACTTAAAATGAATATACACTTTTATGGGAACTTTTTTTAATTTCCTGGATTTCTTTTTTAAAGTCATCAATTAATTTTGTAAAAAAAAAAAGACTACAAGGTTGGAGTCAAATGAGTAACGGACAGTTGTGATGTGCCCAATTATGCCTGCTCCCATTGCAGATCTCTTGTTTTATCAACGTTATGTACTGTATTCCCTCCCTCCTGTGCTGTGTTAATTGCAATTTGTAAAGATCATCTGGCAGTCTGTTATGCAAAAGAGGAACATTTTCTTTTCCCAGGTGGAGCAGGAGGTGCAACATCATTTCACAGTCCTTGGTTTTCCTGTTAATTGAATAATATTCATGAGGCTTGGGCATTTTCTCTGTATAAGGCAATGGTAGAGATGTGTACACCAGATTTGACCCTGTTGACCTAAAAACCTCTATCACTTGTAAACAAATAAATGTGTTACCATGAAATTACCTACAGTGATATTTTTTTATTATTATTATTGCTTATTATCCTTGTGTGTATTCTCATCTGTGTTTCTCTCTTGTTCTGTTGCTGCTGGATTTCCCTACGTGGATCAATAAAGGTCCATCTTCTCTTATGTTATAGAAGAGTTTGGACATAAGCTGTCATGTTTGATGTCACAGTGCTCAAGATATTGTATAGTTAAGGCAGCATAGTCAAGGTCACTGGAAGGTATTGGTTTCTATAAGATGCTGTTCTTAAGCCTCCAGAATCAAATTCATGCACACAAAACACTTTTTAAAAACAAAAAAACAGTTTTATTGAAATGTGTTCTAATGTTCTACGGGTGAAGGAGCTGATTCCCAGACAGCAGCAGTGTGTGTGCAGTGTGTTCTGAGGGCTGCGAGGAGGATGACAGAGTGAGGCAGCTGACCTCGTGCCTCACTGGGACTCTACCAGACTGAGAAGTCCTGATCTGAAGATACTCTATATCAGTTACATTTACTGCTCCACCACCAGTCTATTGGTTTTAAAGAACACATTTCTTTGTTCTCACTTTGCTCTACTCCAGACCAAATCCCCAGAGGGGAGAATCTTCTGTGGATTTTATCTCCAGAATCCTCTGAGCTGTATCTCACCCACAGCCCTGCACTCATAGCCCCTGTCCACAGTAAAGGAGTGGAAAGGCTATTTCTGCACTCAAGATTGTAATATGTGATGGAGAACACAGTCACTGTTCATGTATGTAACAAAATAAAAGTGTATTCTTATTCTTATTTTGTAGATTAAGACTCCCCTGCAAAAGAGACTTAACCTGTTAAGCCCCCATGCCCCCGCAAGAAACAGCGTCTGAGGGCTTCTTAACATTTAACAAACTATTAATGTGTCATATCCACTTAACGGGAAGAAACTCAGCTAACTGACGATATGAAAAATGTTTAGCTAAACAAAACACAAGTCTAACGCCGAGCCTCAGAATTAGCCCCGAGCGAAAAAATGCTCGCGGCATGGGATACAAACCCAGACATCACACAACGTAGCTTTACGGAGCAAACACACGAATAGTCTTACGTTTGCTGTTGTTCTGATCAAAAGTTGTGTTCAATGGCATGAAAACGATAAAAACGCTGCTGAAGGTTAATCCAATGGTTAATCCAATGGTTAATCCAATGGTTAATCCAAAGGTTAATCCAAAGGTTAATCCAATGCGTCTGTGTCACTTTGAAATGATTACTGATAATCCATCTTCATATTTACTAGTTTGAGCCTAGGTTTCAGTTTTCAGTGCGTAACATAGCTTTCAACTGCGTGCGCATCACTCTCACTCCTCAATGGTAACGCGAGTGTGTATGTGGAACTCCCCCTTTGATTCTATTGGCTCTAACGGTTAAAAAGGAGGTGTCAATCACCAAAATCGACCAATGGGTTCCAGAGAAACGGCAAATCCACCCAAAGGTGTTTCTTTCTTTTTCTAAATCTCTCTAAAAAAGTCAAATGTCACTTGTTTTGCATCAATCTTGATACAGGGTACTTATTATATGTTATAGTTTGGATTCCTAAAGCTTTTAGTCTACTATCCCATCATTCAAGGGTGGTTTTCACTATAAGTAATGTTTGTTTTTTTGGACGGACACTATAATTTACATTTATTTTACTATGTTCAATCTGAATTTACTTTAAAATAAACATATTCTATATTGATTCTGACTTTTCTACATCCAACTCACAGGTTTATCATTGCTTTGAGAAAAAAGATTATTAATTTACCCCTTTTAGAAGTGAAGATATGGTCATTTTTGAGCCTGAGACCTGAAAAACAGGCTTGGGGCTGAACAGATTAAGAAGAGGCTGAAGCAGACAGAGTCCTTGGACTGCAATGTGTGCAAGAAGAGGTTTGATAAAAAGGAAAATAAGAGGGTGAAATGTTCTGCCTCTTGTTGCGAAATGAAAGGAAACGCTTTATTATGTTCAACTGTTATTGTAAAAGCTTATGTAATACTTCATTTCATTTTTAATCCGCATTGCTGTTTTATAACTGTCAATGATTTTATCTACAATCATATAATTATAAACCAATACAATATGTTTCATGCAAAAGGTGTTTGCTTTGCCAGAAAAATTAAAATAAACTTAACATGCTTACATATCTAATAAAGTCACTTTTTCTGACCATGCAGAATGATGTTTAAGACACAAATAAAATCTTTCATGCACTATTGTGCATATTAAACAGGAGCAGTGTAAGATTTAGTGGCACCTAATCATATATAGAAAACATATGGTATCCACGACAGAAATGTAAAAAATGTTAACAAGCCCTCTCTAGAGCCAGCCGTTTGTCAGTTCAGAACTACACTGCAAACATGGCGGTACAATATGGTAAAAACACAGTGAAAGTTTCACATGAAAACAAAATGGTAAATATCTAACTCCTTTCTGCCAATGGATCTCCAGAATTCTACACAATGGACCTTCAAAAGAGGAGGAGTTTTGTCCACCATGCTATGCTGTGTTGCTATTAAACCCCTCCTTTCTGTCATGTTGTCACAATTGGATGGATTGCACTCATTGAAGTGGCTAAAATATTGTACTTATGGATAGGTGTGTGCTATAATGCTATTGTAATACAGTTAGATGTAAAACAATTATAATCTGAATAGAGTCTTTCATTTAAAACGCAAAATGTACACCTAATCACATTCATGAGATGAAATCACTGATTATGTTTTAAGAGCAGTCTTCGGTGCCCCTTTAACGCTCATTGACTTCTGTTGGACGCTGAATCAGGTGATAACTAGCAATACATAAGGTTGTATTACTGTTGGTACTGGCAAATACAAAATAGTCACATTTTTGCTGGTAATATCTATCTTCATTTAAAGTAATATAACATGTTTTGGAAGTTTAAACTAACTAATAAGCTTACCTGAAATTCTTTATTTCATGGTAATTTATTTGGCTTTAATAATAAGGTTGTCTTTTATGTGAACCCTCTATTAATTAAAGGTAGGGTAGGTAAGTTTGAGAAACCGGCTCGAGATCGCTAGAATTTGAAAATACACAGCCGGAAGAAATCTGCCACTTCCTTATAGAGCCCCTCCTCCAACACACACGAACGCGCACATGACCAATGAGGGCACGAGATAAGTTTGTGCACAGATGGAAGGCTGACAGGCAGGTAGGCCATCCAGTTATTTTAGCCGGGCCGGCTAAAATGATTGGTCGTGCTTTTTACAGTACTAAGGCTTCCACAGATGACATTTTTTTATGGATTTTTTGTCAAAGCACTTCAGATATTCATTGCTATCGGGATGTTAAGAGCATTCCATGGAATATAACAAAAAGTGTATCTCGAGCCGGTTTCTCAAACTTACCTACCCCACCTTTAAGACAGAGTCCATATATAAGCACCTCCTTACTAACTGAGCGAGAGTTTATCAGTAGAATACAGAGTAGGAGCTGCATTACCTGGTGATGTCCCACACACAGGAGCTGACGATCACTACATCAGGTTTGAGTCCTTCCCTCAGATCCTCCAGGATGCTCTCCATGTACGGGGAGTAGATCCGTGTCAGGAAGTAGAATCTCAGCAGGTGGTGGTCGGAGCGGTATTGCCGGACCTCTCTGTACCCAGTGCCGTTAGTCAGGGGACCCATACGACCCCCCTCAACCAGGAGGTCCTGCTCGAAGGAAAATTCCCCCTGCAGCACAGAGAGGACACATTTAATGCCAGCACAGGAGAAATGTTCTTCCGTAACACAAGCACACGTCATATTTTATCAAAAGACATTCACTCATATTTAACCATGCAAAAAAGGGATTTCAAAATACCTCATTTCTTTACTACAATTATGCTTACTTGTGAGTTTTGTCTGTATAGATTTTCTGTGCTATCTGAACTTTCTTCATTGAGATTTTTATGTGTGAGGAGTAATATCAATAACGTAATTTCTTTGTTTGAAAAGAGGAGGACACCTTCCTCTCTGCATTGAAATGCAGCTTTATAACCTATTGCATGTATTTTGTATCTTTATAATTGTGCAAAAAAACTGAACCTGGAACTTGATGTCATACACAGTGAGCGCGTCTGGGTCAAACTAAATATTCTGATACTGATTACTGATAACTCCCAACTTGAATATATTAAGGGAATTGCCCTGAGTTAATAGACAACTTAAAGGTCCCATGTCATGCTTTTCCGGTTATCACCTGTCCCCTTGTGTGTTATGAAGGTTTTTCTGCATGTAAACGGTCTGCAGAGTCACAAACCCTCAAAGTACACCCTGTAGGGAGTAAAACTCTGTAAATACCCACACACACTCACTCAGCCTTATCTTTTCTCAGCCGCGGCTCCACGGATCTCCACTCACAGTTCGCCACACACAGCCAGGCTGTGAGTGTGTGTGTGTGCTCAGGCTGTGTTCCGCCGTGTCTCGCTGTCTCGCAGACCCCACGCAGCAACCAGGAAACGACACCAGTAATCCAGCTCACACTGGCCGCTCCTCGAGCCTCAAAGGGCGGAGCAGCGAGCCCCGCAACGTCCCGCCAACACGGCACCCAGACCCCACGCAGCATTCTCATCTGTTTGTCATTACTGGTGTCATTTCCTGGTTGCTAACGCCATTGTATCACAAACACACATAAGAGCACAGTGGGCTCACAGGGAGGGGGGGCAGGAGCTCCAACAAGCCGTTTAGGACAGAGAGTGAATACACATACTATACAGAGATGCTGTATGAGAAACCAATGTGAGTTTGGAACATTGAACAATGTAAATATATTCTAGTAGACCTCAACAATGGAATTATGATCAGTAGAAATGGCCATGTCATGGGACCTTTAAGTAGTCTATTTAGAAGGAAGAACAAAATAGTATGAACAGATTTCATTTATATTGTTAACCCTTTACCTCAAAATGATAACTAATCTGAGTGGAGGCCTTATCCTTGATGTTATTGTTTGTTCCGGCAGCCATTGTCTCTTTGTGTATATATGTTCATGTTGCACTGCTGGAGGAGCCTGTGACTGCATTGCTATATCTACACGGTAGCTACAGTGCACATGACAATGAAGCCTTGAATCTTGAACAAAAAGATCATTTGTTTCTAATTGATAAAGACACAATGAGGAATGGATGTCAGACAAAAGACAGCAGGCTGTGAAGAATGACTACTTATGTAAGTGTAGTTTCATGTGAGTGGAAAGATTTACTTTGGACTTGAGCTGAGGCAGAGTTAAGAACTTATCCCTCTGAAGCAGCAGAACCAGGTCTTTGTACATTGAGCGCTGCACTGAAATCAAAAGACACATGCAACAGGTTTTACTCAAATAAAGTATCTGAAAAACCTTAAAGTCTAAGAACAAAAACTTGAAAAGGGACAGAGCAGTGAGGGATTTAAAAGGGTGTAGAAGGTGTGAAGCAGATTTCCTATAAGATTCAGTGTCTGGTAAAGACTAAACAAATGACAAATGTCTGTTCATGTCTCTTACCTGAGCCTCCAAGAACCAACACAAACTTGTTGTGTAGCAGCTGCCTGGCTTGACTCTGCATTACAAATGTCTCCATGGCTTCAGTGTCTGTTCACAGGACTGGTGGTTGGGAAGTCATAACAGATTTATTACCATTTCATATTTGACTTTTTACACCCTTTTTCCATCAGTCCATCAGGGGTGCCCAACCAGTCGAATCTCCCCGCGATCGACCGGTCGATCGCGGGGAGAGTCCCAGTCGATCGCGAAATGTGTCTAAAAATAGAACAACAATATTCTGTTTTATCGTTAATGTCCTATAACATAATCTTCCTGTGCCAGAATAATGCACTTGAACGCATCAAAGCTTTGTGATTGGCGTGACCCCATGTGTCGGGGCGTGGCTGGTGGGCAGTGGGCACTATTTCGCTGACGTTGTCCGTGGCAACAGGAGTGACAGTCCGCACACACACAAGACCGCAATTATGGCAGAAGCAAAAAAGCCCAAAATATATAATTTTCACTCCGAGTGGGACGATGATTATTTTATCTATTCCAATTCAAAGTCCATCTGTCTCATCTGCAATGCAAGCGTGGCTTTATCGAAGAAGGGTAATTTAGGAGCGGCATTTCAAAACAGTGCACAAACGCTACGAGACGGAATTCCCTCCTAACTCTGCCCTACGCTCCCAAAAGGTGAGGGACCTGAAAGGACAGCTAAATGGACAGCTAAATGCACAGCAGTCACTTTTCACCAGGCCCAACAACAAGAGCAAGGCTGCTACCATAGCATCTTATCGTGTCAGTCACGTTCTTGCCAAACACATGAAGTCTTTCAAAGACGGCGAAGTTGTGAAAGAAGCATTCCTGGAGGCTGCCGACGCGCTTTTTGGGGACAGTAAAAATAGCAGTAGCATTTCAACAGGTTTTTGATATAATAAAAACTCAAGTTAGATACCGTTATTAATCAGCTGTAAGTTTGAGTTTGTTTGAACTTATTCATTATAATTATTGTACAAAATGGTATAAGAATGCAAACTTTAAGATCTGTTCTGTTTAAATTGATTATAGTCTATTATCAATTCAGGTTAAGAAACTAGTGTTGCTTGCATCCTATTTTAAAGGCATTTCTTTTTATACTCTACTAAAATGCAAAAAAAGAAAAGGGTTTGATTCTATTAATTGTCTTTTTTATTGCACTTTGGCAGCAGATTCCTGTGTAGCTTCAGATCTGAGTTGTCTTATTAGTAAGCCTAATTTATACTTTTGTAGCAACACTATTTTTATATAATGGCAAAGAAAGGGTTCAGAGTCTTTTCTTTTTTTCCTGTGTCATATGTGGCAGCACTGTTCAATGTTTCTTGAAAACATGACCCACTGTAGTATGTGACGTGTGAATACACTCCAACTCTGTATCAACAACACTGTTGTGTAACTTCAGTTAAATACTTGTATGTGTGTAGATTAGAAAGAGGTAAGATAAAGGATCTGCAGTATTTTATGAAGTATTAATCGTACAAAGGTCAGTTTTATACAAGTAGAAGTGTGTATTTACCTGGTTGTAGGCTGTCAGTAATGGCTACGCCTCTCTATTTGGACTGGTAGATCTCGGCAGACTGGCCACTTTAAAAGTAGCTCTCGGTTCAAAAAAGGTTGGGCACCCCTGGTCTAAAGTAAGGTCTCTTCACTCTGTTCTTAAATACTTCAATGTCTAGATACAACTCCATCCTAATCGAAGATTAAGTGTTTGTATATATGGGTCACTCCAGAATTGGAGGACATTTTGTGTCCCACCTATGACATTTCTAATTACTCATGCCCAAAATATGGATTAGAAAATGTCCTTAGAAAAATGTAAATAAAAGTTGTAAAAAAAGTGGTTTCAAAATAATCTTTAAAATATCCAAGGGCTCCCCCCCCCCCTAAAATGCATGTCAAATATTAAGAATATGGTTTTTATTGACTTTATTTGCTATTATTGTATTGAAATATGACTATTGTACTGGTGAAAGTTGTTTCTTAAAGGGCCCATGTCATGCTTTTCCGGTTATTACCCATCCCCTTGTGTGTTATGAAGGTTTGTATGCATGTAAACGGTGTGCAGAGTCAAAACCCTCAAAGTACACCCTGTAGCGAGTAAAACTCTAACACAGAAAATACCTCCCCAAAACGCCTCGTTGGAGATACGTCATTGTCCATTTGATTCTTCCATTTCGTTCCGGGTACGGCATGATGTCAAGCCGTACCCGGAACGAAATGAACCAATCCGTGGAGCCATTACGTTACATCCGCGGAGCCGTTACGTTAAGCCCCCGCTGATTGGTCCAAATTGACCAATCCACGGACTTCCTCACACACACATCTGTGTGCAGGGAGCAGGCAGCTCAGCTGATTTCTCCTCCCTGGCTGCAGGCTGATAACAGACAGTTGGGATCGCTGCGAAATTCTCTCTGCAGACCCATTCTCTCTGCAGACCCATTCTCTCTGCAGACCCATTCTCACAGAGTTTATCAACCTTTTTCTTACTCAATATCAAGCCACACTTATTGTTTTTACTTCGGCTGTGACTTTGTGTGTGCTCAGGATGAGTTTGGCTGTGTTTGGCTGTGTATCGCTAACAAGGAAACAACACCTGCACGGAGCTCAGCGCGATTCACAACGTCCCGACCAATCAGAGCACACTGTGCTCACAGGGAGGGTGGGGGCTGGAGCTATTGGAGCTACCACGAGCCGTTAAAGGCAGAGAGTGAAATTCAGTGAATACAAGTAGTTTACAGAGATGCTGTATGAGAAACCAATGTGAGTTTGGAAAATTGCATAATATAAAACTATTCTAGTAGACCTCAACAATGGAATTATGATCAGTGGAAATGGCCATGACATGGGCCCTTTAAATCATCGCCTCTTTCAGTCAACATCTTTAGAAAAATGTAATGTTATCGATTATTTAGCATAATCGACATGTTTTAAATGTGTTACTATATTTTCCCAGTATAAGAATTGTAATAAAACACTATACAATAGGCCTATGTACCATCAATACCCGAGCTGGCCAAATCAATGTGTTACATAATGTGTCTTCATCTCTTTTTCTCAGATACATAACACAAAACAAGTTTTTCTAAAGTTTTGATGTCTTAAATGTCCTCCAATCCTGGAATGTCCAATACAGTATAGGCCTATGGTAAATACCTTTATACAGTATATGGTAAAGACCCGGATGTAGCTCCAGGATACCGAGTTCTCTTTACATACATGGGGTAGCTAGGTAAGCTAGCTAAAGGTTATGTAGGCCTACGTGAAAACACAAAACCTGGTTGAAAATGTTAATAGGGACACAAAAAAGGTTATCACGTCATCATGGCGTTGCATAACACCTGTAAAACGTGACTTGTGATTAAAAAAGCATTTAAACGTTAAATATATGATTTCCATATTCCATCAAACCAAATAATGTGTTAATTAAATGAACACGCGACACTGTGTGGTGACGACAACAGAAGCGACTGTTAATATAATAGCATAGAGTTTAAAAAGTAGCTGTTATTAACCCACTGAAAATGTTGTTTAAGTAAACTTTTTTAAATGTATAAAATACTTGTAATCTTACCGTTCTAGGGGTTTGGGGCTGCACTCTCAAGTGTCTGCAGCGCGTGTCAAAGAGAAGCAGCCTACACACCTGATCCAATCAGATCCAATCAGATCGGCCCCCTTCCGCCTGAAAAAAACTCAAATAAGGTCTATTCTTTTTCGTGTTTTTTTCAGTGGTGGAATATATAACTGTACTGTAAAAGTAAAAGTACTGTAGTTAAGTAAAACATCTAGGTACTTGTACTTTATGTGAGTATTTCCATATTATACGACTTTTTTACTCCACTACATTTTGTAGTCAAATCATGTTGTACATGTTGTCCACTACATTTATTTTACAGATGTAGTTACTTGCTACTTTTGCTTTAGATATTTAATAGAAAATATATATAAATTATTGCATTATTATATATTAGTATAGGTTAAGCTACACAGTAGTATTTAAAGTAATTCAAATTAACCCCACTTTTACCAAGTGAAATAATGAGCACATTAATGCATCAATAATTATGATACAATCATTTCAAATAATTGGTGCTTAAATGGACCAGTCTGCATAACTACAGTACTTTTACTGTTGGTACTCAAAGTTTTTTTTTATGCTAATACTTTTGTACTTTTACTTAAGTACCATTTGGAAATCATCAGTAAATTATCTGAGTATTTCTTCCACCTTTAGTTTTTGCAGCCCATAATTAACCGGATAAAGACTGAATGCCTCTTTATTATCTCTCCATGTCTCACGGAGAGATACCGCAGGTCCTTCCTTCCTGCAGCGGTCATACTATACCACCACGGCCCCTGGTAGACCCCCACACACACAACAACACTATGTGATGTGACTATGCTATAAGTTATAACACCCCTTGTTGTGAAATACCAATTATGTGCAATATATATATATATATATATATATATGTCGTTAATAGCTCTGCAATATATGGCTGCTATATCTTCGAAACTGTTACAAGATGTGTATTTTCTAAATTGTGTAATATTTTTCATTTTTTGTATCTTTAATATTTTTGTATATGCATGCTTCCTATAGTTAATATTAAGCTGTCTTTGGCTCTTTTCTTGCTGTAACAAATGCACATTTCCCCTCTGTGGGACGAATAAAGGTTTTCTGATTCTGATTCTGATATATTTAAGTAATTATTCAGACTGGTTTGTGCATAGCTTTTATTTTGCCTTCATTCAGACATTCTGACTCTGAAAAGCAACAATAGCTTTAGATCAGGTCCCATTCGTGTCTGGGTTAGCCATCACAATGTGAAACTGAACCAATTATAATTGTATTATTTATAGCTTTTAAATGTCAGCATTTCTTTGTTTATTCAAAGGTCTGAAAGGAGCAAAACTCTGATAAATACATATTTATTTTCTTGCCTAAAAATACTTGATTAAAAATATATTGATACTGAAAACATACTATAACATCCAAACCAAGAGTCACTCAGACAATGTTGCTAAAATCCCTAAAATCTCAGATAAAATGTGCGAGACATGACCATATCCTCAAAGCTGGCTAGCCTTGAGTGTATTGTCCCAATTGCACAATTAAATAAATATTTAAACATATTGCTTATTTGATTTATTGCAAAGAGTTACAGTATGAGAGGATTGATACCAGAGTAACAACAATATGAAACTCCAGCCAGCAGCTCTATGCATAAAGAATGCATACGGGGGAAATGAGCTAGCCAATCTCTGTTAAGTTAACAAAATCTCCATACCAGCATTACAATTTACAAGTGAACTTCTACCCAAACTGGGACAAGTAGAAATGTATTTACAGAAAGTGAGTGTTTGATAATCATTTTGTGAGCAGTGTTTCTACTCCTTATGCAACCAGCTGTTGGCTAGTTTCATACACACTGTGTAAATAAAAGGCTACAGCCAGCAGCTGGAGACATTCTAATTCCACTGGGGAACTTGTTTTGTCAATTTGAATATTCCCTATGCAGAAGTGCATATGTGATTGATAATAAACGATCGATGAAAGGATGAAAGGTTCGGCGTCATCAAAAACTCTCTTTTGCATTTCTTTTGCTACGAGGCTGAGCAGACCGATACAGAGCACCGCTGCCTCAGTGCCCCTTACTTAGCTCACATTTAGCTAATGTGCTGTTGTCACACACAGGCACACACACAGTGGCAGCATGCAGTCAGGGAACATCCAGGAAGACAGTTGAACTGGTGGTACTATCAAGAATTCATCTCTTTAGTAACAGAACAACTAAAAGGCCAGACAACCACATCTGGTTCCGAGTCATAGTGCCAGTAAATCAGCTGAGACAGGTGGCAGGTGACTGACTGGCATCCCAGAGGCAAGACTTGATTCTGGCTCTGACTTCATTTGAGAAGAGTAGTTTGACATTTTGTGAAATGTACTTTCTTGATTAGAGTTATTTGAAAAGATTGATACTATCAAACTCCTGATGTAACTCATCTAACTGGGCATGGGAATACACAAACTCCCCAAAATAATAAACAACTGCCAAACACAGCATTTCCCACAAGACCAAGACTAATGGGAAAGCAAAATTATCTATAAAAAAGATAGAAGAGAGCATTGAATAAGGATGTATAATAGATGCAGTACCACACTTGTGAAACGTGAAATGTTACAGTTTTGAATGCTAACTAATGTTTTATTTTTAAGGGATTGAGACAAGAACACATCACTTGTTTGTTCAAATGTCCAGTATGATGTGTTTGGCTGATAATAAAATGATCAATTCTACTCAAACCACAGTAGTAGTCTTTGTTCAATATCTAACCAATGCTTAGCTGTGCTGATGAAACAGTCATTCATACTCGTTTTGGAAGGATGTCTTCCTCCCAATAGGGAAGTCACATCAGAAAACACGAATAATTGTTAACACTGTTAAAACCACAAAGGCTTATTGAATAGGAAGTGCTGTAATCTCTAAAGTAATTAACCCCTGAAACTTTGAATATTTAAATTGTCCAGGAAGCTACCTTGAAGGAGCTAATATGAAGAGCTTATAACAATGGTTATATGACACTCTGCTGTTATTACCCTGAATACCTTCAGAGCTGAGGCAACAAAGCCTGACTTCTGTTGTTATAAACACCTGACTCCATATAAGTGGCTCTCCAACTGAAGGCTAGCCTGAAGGAAGACATTAACGTATGTATTCACCTCCCTCAGGCCTGCGCCTGCACACAGCCTGATTTATAGACAGCGTTCCTGGAAAAACGTAGCTCTTTTCATTAAGATCACGTCTGCAGTCTGGCGCAGTATTCACCCACAGGTTGGTTTGGGCTGGATGCCCCGGTAATGGTCTAGCAGAACGTCTACATCGATATATCTCCCCACCAGGCCATTCCTCCAGCTGTCTGATACCCTCCACTCGGACCGTGGACTCTCTAAATGCATTAGTCTCCAGGGAGCTGCCTCTCTCACATCTCTCATTTCCAACAGAGTGGAATCCATCCAGAGCAGGAGATTCCTGCTCATCGGCAAGGAACTTTAAAAACACCATGACACTGTGAGAAAATCCATCCATTATTTTCAAAAGGAACACTTGCATTAAGACATCAAAGAAAACTGATTTAAATGAGGTGTTCTTTAACCTTCAATCACACAGTGATGACTTAATGCTAACTCATGTAGCTACTGTTGCCCTTGGATAACACATTAAAGGCTCGAGCTGCTCAGCCTTCCTTACCAATGGGACAAGTCAAAGCTTTCTATTTAGAGAACAGCTGTGTTTTCACTGAGCTTCAGTCAGGTGGTCGCCATCATAACACTGAAATGTCTGATATTGCCAAATACAAAGTCAGAAAAGACCACACTCAAATAAATAAATAACAAGTCAAATAATGTTCCACTAAGACCATGAATAAACAACTTGACTTCTATAACATTGTTAGGCTTACAATTAACAATTTACAGGCAAAAACACAACAATGATTGCAACAGAACTAGAGATATGGCCTTGTCTTATTCCATTCATTCTTCTTCTTGTCAGAACCTGGGACAATCATTACCCACAATGCAACTTCACTACTTCACCACTAGCTTGAAGATTGTTGTTCATTATGCTATAAGCTGGAGAAACTTGTAGTCTTTAACCCAACTAGTTAAAACCACTTGCCTTATAAAATAATGAGAACTTCAACAATGGATATGATTAGAAAGTGGTTTGCAGTGGAGTAGAGGATCACAGCTGTTTCATCTTGGTTTGATGACCTCCATGGTTTAAGTCCCTTTCCTTGCTGCAGTGATGAGGTGTACTTCAGAACATCATGACATCACTGTGATGCAGGTCGAAGGTTAAACAGTATTGTGGTAGCAGAGCCAGAGACTCATATTCCCTGACTCCATAGGAAACTTAAAAAGACATTGGGCCCCTGATTTTCCAGTCTGCACCAAAAATGAATTGTTCTTTTAAAATGTCTTTGTTTTGTACAAATCCACATCTTTCTCCCTGTCCATAGTTTATAACATGGCTTTTGGGGTTATATGTTTGCTCTTTTGTGCCCACATTTAGCTGGGAATATTCTTAATGTCTAAAACATATGTTCTCCATGAATGGCCTTTCTAAGCAGTGATTATTTGTGTTTTTCTGAAAAGACTGTAGCCAAAGGATTGCATGACAAGTAAACAAGACAAGATAGTATCTGACGTGCAGCATCATATGCATCCTGTTGGTCCCTTTAGACCACAGGCTGTCTCCACATCATTGCACGTACATTTCCATTCAATAGTGTTGAGGTTTAGATGGAAGAAAAAACAGAATGAAGGAAACTCAATGATAGTTTTGTAAAAATATTTTATGTAACAATTCAAAAGTCATAACACACAGCAAAAGACATTCAAATCAACATGAGCGATCAGGGTGTGTCCTGCAAGTCCCACCATCAGACCCTCCCCCATGTAAACACTGTTCAAAGAAGCTGCTGTGTGATTGGCTCCCCATAGGCCACTGTGTCTCCGGATTTGTAATTTTAAACATTCCTCATACAATACAATAAATTATCAAACCTAAGGAAAATGGAGGAGGTGACTTGCGGTAAACTTTATGAGAAGATTTTCAAGCGTTTTCGCTGACACACCCCAGGTATGAAGAGACCTCTTTGGCACATAACATAAATCATAAAACAGGACAATAAACAAACTGTAAACAAAACATTACAAAATGCATTTTTTTGTATACACAGACAGCATTAACATATTAAAAAACAAACGATAATCCTAAAAAAATTGATTTGGCAAATGTGAGCGCCTCCCCCCCCCCCCCCAGCGATAACACTTGTCTCAGTCTGCAAGGCCTCGTGCAAAACCGCGTCATCGTGGATAATGTTAGCTCGCTGGGAGGAGTGGGCAGAGTTGAGAATGGGGGCGGGGGTAGGGTTTCATTTTGAAGTCTGAACTTAGAAGAGTCCTGCTTTTCTCCCGGTTTTGACTTTGTCTTCGTCCTCCTCTGTGTGACAGCGCTGTGGTGTACCAGCCAAAGTCTCTTTAGTGCAAATAGGCTGTCGGGGGGGAGCAGAAGGTCATTTCCTTGGTGGAGGCGAGGCTGTGTTTGGTTTGGCACCTGGGACCGGTCTGGAAGGAGAAGGACAAAGAAACACATTCTAGCTTACTGTTGAACTCATGGAGCGTACTCACATCTTACAATAAGGTCAAAAGGAGTATTGTGTGTTCAACAAAAGCCTGATGATCTTATTAAAGCTGCATTGTTGTCAACAAATATATAACAAACACATCAATCAGCCACTCTGGGTTCCTTCATTACCATTAACAGACAATAGATGATATTGACTCATTCCAACACACACCTTCAAAAATATATATATAATGCTTATGCCAATAAAGCCTTTCAATCCTGGAACATGGTTCTCTGCTGGAAAGGGCTCTGTGGTTATGGGATGTGAGCCTTAACCATGAGGCCCTTTTTGACATTAAAGTTGAATGGAGGCCTACTTTAATAAAATACATCATTTGCTGTGGATTTGTACGGTGTGATACCGGGAGGCTTCTCCCTCAGTAGATCTCTGAACAAACAGAGTTCAACCAGCAGCAGGTCTGAAATCAGAACCAGATGGAGAGACATTTCAGGTTAGAAAACAGGAGCAGAGGAACCATCACAACCTGAAGAACAATCCTCTCTAGAGCCTTCCCTGCCTGACTTTGACTACAATTACAGATAGGAACAGAAAACATGCCTCTAAATGTGAAGAAAGTAAGTACAAGTCTCTAAGACTAAGGGCCGGTGACTTCTAGAAAGTGAAAATGGATTGCTGATGAAGCACTGAGTCAATGCATTACATGGTTTGTTAACTTGGAGCGTTTTTATGAGCGCCCACCCTGAACAGAGAACACACTGAAATGAAAAGATAGGAATATAGTGAGGCAGTATTTCCCACAGATAAAACCCCTCCTGGTGCTTTTATGGGTGGGTCATAAAACGCTTTTCAAACAGGGATAGAATTCCAGGATATATAAAAAACGAAACAAAAAAAAGCAATAGCTGCTGAATGAATATCACATTTATTTCAGCTAGTGTCAACAGGAGGGAAGTGTCCTGAGGACGAGTCTCAGTCAGAGGAGCAGGGGGAGGATTGTACAGTGGGAAATGCTTTGATGTATTTCACACATACAGTGAGTGGAACTATAGAACATGCTGTTGGATACAGAACTCAGAACAGCTGTCTGAGTCGGTGCAGATAATGCCTTTGGTAGGAATTGACTGCACAAAGTGGGTTGGTGCTTAAAATCCAGAAGAGTTAGTTAAGGATAAAATAATAGCTCAAAAAAACAATTGGTATAAATGCTCCAATCACAACAGTACATTGTTTCTTTGATTGGATTGGCATCACTCACATTCAGTTTTGATTTCAAGTTTTGATTGTTTGAAGTGAGGATATATGAGTTATTCATCCTGGGATCAACACTAACTCAGTTTGGAGACACAAACAGGAACACGGCATTACTTACATTACTAACAAACATCCTTATTTTATCACTTTGAATGCTACATTTAGAATATTTTTACCAATACACCTTGCTAACTTTCCGACGAGGAATGGAAGCTTTTATATAAATCTATGCTCGCTTCAAAGTCACCAGACTCCATGGACAAAAGCAGTAATGTAACCTTACAGAACACTAGAATAGATCACAGCTTCACTTCAACATGTTTGAAATGACTGACTGCAAGGTAAGCCAGTGAAAATATTATAAATATAGCGCACAAATAAAACTGATATAGATTTTTTACATCTATGCCTTGGATAAATCAGTTTAGCTGCTTCCCCAGTCCTCAGCTTCTGTGCTGGTATCTCCTCTGTTTCTCTAAACTGACTACTGAGGGCTTTTTACCGCAAACTCTGTAAACACTGACTTTAGTGTTAAATACCTCATACACTTCTCCTTACAATCCTAATCATCCAATTAAAGAGGCCCTATTCTGCTTTTTGGGGGTTTCCCTCTCCTATAGTGTGTTGTATAGGTTTGTGTGCATGTAAATGGTCTGCAGAGGCTAAATATACATCAGCAGGAGAGGACTCTTTAAAGTAGAGACACTACATACTGATATACACCTGAACATCAGCAGGAGAGGACTCTTTAAAGTAGAGACACTACATACTGATATACACCTGAACATCAGCAGGAGAGGACTCTTTAAAGTAGAGACACTACATACTGATATACACCTGAACATCAGCAGGAGAGGACTCTTTAAAGTAGAGACACTACATACTGATATACACCTGGACATCAGCAGGAGAGGACTCTTTAAAGTAGAGACACTACATACTGATATACACCTGAACATCAGCAGGAGAGGACTCTTTAAAGTAGAGACACTACATACTGATATACACCTGAACATCAGCAGGAGAGGACTCTTTAAAGTAGAGACACTACATACTGATATACACCTGAACATCAGTAGGAGAGGACTCTTTAAAGTAGAGACACTACATACTGATATACACCTGAACATCAGCAGGAGAGGACTCTTTAAAGTAGAGACACTACATACTGATATACACCTGAACATCAGCAGGAGAGGACTCTTTAAAGTAGAGACACTACATACTGATATACACCTGAACATCAGCAGGAGAGGACTCTTTAAAGTAGAGACACTACATACTGATATACACCTGGACATCAGCAGGAGAGGACTCTTTAAAGTAGAGACACTACATACTGATATACACCTGAACATCAGCAGGAGAGGACTCTTTAAAGTAGAGACACTACATACTGATATACACCTGAACATCAGCAGGAGAGGACTCTTTAAAGTAGAGACACTACACACTGATATACACCTGAACATCAGCAGGAGAGGACTCTTTAAAGTAGGGACACTACATACTGATATACACCTGAACATCAGCAGGAGAGGACTCTTTAAAGTAGAGACACTACATACTGATATACACCTGAACATCAGCAGGAGAGGACTCTTTAAAGTAGAGACACTACATACTGATATACACCTGAACATCAGCAGGAGAGGACTCTTTAAAGTAGAGACACTACATACTGATATACACCTGAACATCAGCAGGAGAGGACTCTTTTATGACTGGGCCACATTATTATTGTGGACTAAAGACACACTATAACTAATCCCATGGAGGGAAGCCTGTGAGATACTTCATCTAGATTAAAGCAGTAGTAGAATTCCAGATCCAAACGAGTGGCGTCAGCATGCTTTGTATGCAGCAGTGATGTAGCGTGGTACCACTTATAGACCACACCTCATCTCCACCTGCTGTGATGCTGGGTGTGTTCAGCTCTCAGGTTTTCTGCTCTTCATGCCATTTTGAATAAACCCCCACTTCCTCCTAAGCCCTACACCACCTTTAGGCTCCCCTCAGGAGAGAGTTATTATGGTCCCTCCCTAATCTCCACTGTGCTGAGCTGGGTGTTTGCTTTCAGGCAGTGACGAGGCTGAGACAACACAGATTACCTCTGTACAGCACAATCTTTTCCATGTGAATCTGCTGACTGGGAACAATTAAAACAAATTCTGAGACCCCACTTAGGACTAAAAAAACCTTTTATGTCTCATCATCATTCATTTGAGGGTTTTCTGATTAGCTGACAGGAGAGGGATTACAGTACAGAAGAGGGGGGGAGAAAGAGACAAAGGACTTCATTAAATCCTGACTGATTACTAGAGTTTAGCCTGAGGCACAATCAGCAAGATCCATTGTTGACTTAATTTTAAACTTGGTGACACACTAATAAAGAGCACATCTATACACCTACTGCTTGAAGCTGATGTATGGTTTTCACTTTCTTTAGTTCATTTGTTCTTTTTTTATTCAGTAGGTGAACCTATATATATACGGGAGGCGTGTGGTGCAGTGGATTCTGCGTTGGTGTTCGGATCAGGGGGTCACAGGTTCAAACCCCTCTGCAGTCAGCATGTCGTTGTGTCCCTGAGACACTTCACCCCAAATTGCTCCTGTGGGGATTGCCCACGGTATTGAGTATGTAAGTCGCTTTGGATAAAAGCGTCTAACAAGTGACATGTAATGTAATGTAATATGTTCATAAAATAGTGTGTGTGTATTAAACTAAAACGGAGCATTTTCTGTCAGCTCAGATTTTATTTCTGCTTTTTTAAACTGTAGTTTGTGCTCACGTGTTTCAGTGTTGGGGTATAGGCTACTGCCTGAATATGCTTCATGAAAGGCAGGTTTTCATATGAATGAAATCAGTTTGATACTAAATATCTTGGTTTCTTCTTTTCTAAGGTCACATTGTTCTTTTGTCAAAAAGATCTTACTGTTATTTCTTCCTCTTGTATTGCATTGCATTTGATTTTGAGGTAGTCCAAAAGTAAAGGAAAGTAATCAGGTTACATCACTTCCATATTGTGATACTCAGATTAGGTTTAAATAAATAATAAATGTAACTGAATACATTTGTAAAGTGACCCTCCCAACCCGGCCCAGGACTCAACACGGTATAACTGACTGACAGCACTTCCTAGTCACATTGAATGTGCCTGTATCTTTTGGGATTCTTGATAAACATTTCCTGATGAAGTAGTGTCACCTCTTAAATGAAATGTAGATCCTAAATACCTTCAACATGTTTTGCATGTTCCATTAAACCAAAAGGTCCCAAAAACCTCTAGATGAATGGTTCTAGTGACATGGCATTGGGGGAAAGAACTGTGTGCAGAATCCAGCAGAGAAAGACTTTATTAATGGCCTTCATTCATTATGGATTTCAGTGCAAGGGTCACTGCAGCTTCTCAGTGTCCACTGAAGGATTCCTAAATTAAGTTTCATCATTTCATAACATCAGACAAGTGCACACGCATTGAATGAGATCAATTCCTTCATTTTGTTGTAATTATTATTAAGACTTTTAGGCTATTATTTGATAGTGATGTTAGAGAAAGTAAAGAGGAATGATGTGCAGCCAAATGTCCGGCCAGCCTGAAATTGAACCAGGGACTACACACTATTTATCTAGCTCTACTGTATGGGTATTATCTCTCATGTATGTAAGTGTTTGCCACATATGTATTTACTACACAGTTGGCAATTGGAAAATATGGTTCAAGTTTTTACAGATGGAGACCGATGTAACAACGATCTACTCAACAGCTTCAAATTGACTTTCTTAATATTGACTTTGTGTACAAGACATTACAAATGATATAACAATTGATCACAGTGGTAAAACATGCACATTTATAATAATAATAATACATGGTATTTACAGTATATACCGCTTTTCCTGGAGCTCAATAACCCTTTATAAGTAAATAAACATTTCTCTCCTGCTCTCTCTACATGTTGTACATTATGCAGCTGCAGTTCCAACATTGATCTCATTGAATTTCATGAGGTTTGACCTTTACGTAGAAGTAACCCGGGTGCTTATTTAGACATGACACCAACAAGTTCAACTAACATCAGATCAATGTAAAGGAGAGCGTGTTTGTAAGAGGCTGTTATTGCTCAGTATAATTAGCGTTTAAATTGTTCTTAAACTGTAGTACATAGAGAAGACCCTTTCATGGATACAGTACACCACAGTGAGTGTGTGTGTGTGTGTGTGTGTGTGTGTGTGTGTGTGTGTGTGTGTGTGTGTGTGTGTGTGTGCGTGCGTGTGTGTGTGTGTGTGTGTGTGTGTGTGTGTGTGTGTGTGTGTGTGTGAGTGTGTGTGTGTGAGTGTGTGTGTGTGTGTGCGTGTGTGTGTGTGTGTGTGCGTGTGTGTGTGTGTGTGTGTGTGTGTGTGTGTGTGTGTGTGTGTGTGTGTGTGTGTGTGTGTGTGTGTGTGTGTGTGTGTGTGTGTGGTGTGTGTGTGGTGTGTGTGTGTGTGTGTGTGTGTGTGTGTGTGTGTGTGTGTGTGTGTGTGTGTGTGTGTGTGAGTGTGAGAGTGTGTTGTCCCACCTGAGAGCTCTGAGAGGGGGGATGGCTGTGACTTTGCCCACAGGTTTGGGTCCCACTGCCGGGGGCATCATGACCAGCAGGCCCGTGGAGGGTTTGGAGAGCGGGGTCCGGGCTGGACTCACTGTGGGGGATGCTCCTCTGGCCGGGCTGAGGGGGAGGGGCCTCTGAGGGGGGAAGGGGGACCGTCTGGGCTGCAGCTCAGACACTAACTAGAAGACAGTAGGAGAAATATCGATTATTGACATTTAGATGTACCAACGGGATTACGTGTCATGATATTATATATTATGTGACCAAATTAAGCAAAAAATACAAGAACAGAAGTAAAAAGAAAAGAGAAAACACAAAAGTAAAAAAAATCAAAACAGACAGGGTTATCAATAAGTGGGTACAGCGCCAATACGCTACAGAACACTAAATCCCTGGCACATGCACACAGCAGGGAGAGAACTCCAATGCTAATCTGTCCTGGACCACATCCAGGCTGCTTGGGAATCTGTTCAGCTAGCTGATCAGAGGAGCTTCAGTCCCACTCCACACAGGTACAGTGGATTCAAACTACCACTACAGAAGAGATCACATCACAAAGTGAACTTGCATGAAATATTGGATATTTGACAAAAACAAAACAAAGTGATATGACATTCAAACTCGGCTTTAAAGGTGTTTTGCGCTTCAAAGAGAAGCACTGATGAGAGGATAAATCAATGAGAAAGCAATCAGATAAAAGAAAACACAAAACAGTGCAATTGTATTAATTGTTTCTTCAGATGAAATCATGTAAGGAATTCTCTGGCACAGAAAGTCCGGCGGTTTCTCATCAGCTCTGTGAACCTGCTAATAGTTCTGAATTACTTTTACAAATGATACATTTAGCTGCAGTCAGGAGCAATAATATGTTTTTTACGGCATGGCTTTTCATATAAAGGTGGCACATCTGCAGCCCCCCACCCCACACTTTGTAAACAGGAAGTATATATTACCATGGATTCAGTGAGTAATTCCCTGGGCTACAACTTAAACCCTGTTATTTTTAAGCTTTTTTACAAATGTGTATGCTGAATTCGCTATTAGCTGTTTTTTTGTGCAGTGTTTGTGTGTTGAACTATCCCTGGATCATTTTGATACTAAAATAAGTGTAATAACTGATGATTTCAGACAATTTCTTGAGTATTTGTATCAGTCTCAACAGGGATTCACTACAGCTGTTGAATACTCTCTAAATGGAAAAACATGGCATCTTTGGAGACAAAACTATTTAACACAAGTGAATTTGGAGTGAGCCAACGACTATGCAGTTGGAGCTCTATTTATATGTTGATCAGAAATGTGGCATTTAAGCCCTTTTCAGACTAGATATATTTGTCTAGCAGAGGTGAAGTGATTTTAACATTTTTCCCTAGAAATAAAAGCCATCAGGAGAGGAACACCACATCATTCTCTAGATATGTAAGAATGTGGTTGTTGTACTGTCAGCTACAGGTAAGTAATGCTTTTCTCTCTTGGCTGGTGCTGCTGAATGTCCATTTCTATTACAGACCACATCCTGTCATTTTGCGATGGTTAAATGCCTTCCGGACCACTGACTTTATAGAGGAAGACACTGAAGCCCAAATGGAGCTTAAATCATATTATCCTATAAATATTCTCTAATTGCTCCAGTGTCAATCTGACCTAGCTGAATCCATTGCACAGAAGGCAATTTATAATCCACTGCCTTGTAGAAATACCTGAGCTCACAAAACATAGTCTGCTTTTATGAGGCTCTTTCTGTACTGTAAGTACTCTCACTAAAATGGAGATTTATTTAACAACTGTCTGGCTGCCTGACAGCTCCCGGTGATGTCCTGTTGCTGTTGGTATTTTATTTTTATTTTTTTACATTAAACCACAATAAATGGGAATGCCTATATAGTAGTTCTCCCTAAACTTAATATCAAAAGTCAGCCTCTCGCTTAATGAGAAAAGAGGTAAGAATCGGTTTCCTAAAATATATATTCTTAGTGGCTTCCTGTCTATAAATTGTTCCATTTCTCAATTCTATTCTGGCCTTTACATTAGGTAGTATGCATTTTAGATTATAGTTTTATAATTCAATTGTATTTGTGACATGTTCCTCACCAGTGGAGATCGTGTTGGGTTCAGGGGCAGGGGTTTCTTGGGTGGGCTGAGTCTCTGTGGGGTTCCAGGGGATTTAGGTGGGGCCGTTGGGGGCTTGCTGACTGGCAGAGGCGGGCGAACCACCTTAACATCCCGGGAACCGCCCATGGGGGACTGGCTGGGTCTCAGAGGTCGCACTATGTTCACTGGCTGGGTGCCATTAGACACAGGGCCCGGTCTGAGAGGCAGGACCTCTTTGCTGGTGTGAGGAAGCTAGGACCAGAACAGAGACAACAACATCAACTTGCAAAATCTTGGGAAAGCTTGTCTACATCCAATGGACAGAAAACATAAACAACATTTAATTTATAAGCTCTAGTCTGGTTCCAGAGTGAGGTATGGTTCTGAAACGGCTCTGGTTAGATATGAAATAACCCCATGTGGCATTGGAGTGTGGTTAGTGCCCCGGCTGCTGGAGTGCTGGAGTGGCTCAGCCGGAGACCAGACAGCTGGACAAGGATCAGGTAAACAGTTAAACAATAGTAGTATGTGGGTAACCTGGTTCTTGTCCCTACAGTAGGCAGTTGAGATTTGTGAATTGTAAAAGTAATTCTTACTTTTGGACTTTAATTAAGCCTTTGATATTGTTTGATCACAACATTATTATAGGCTCCCTAAGATGGTTTTATTCTATGAGCCAATGAGATCTCTCACCATTTGTCTGATTCAAAGCTTCTCCCCACAAAGAACATTCCATACGGAGTGCCTCAAGGCTCTTTCCTGGGTCCACTACTTTCTCCACATATATTAGAACTAGGAGTCATTGTGGATGAGCACAATATTGATTTTCTTAGATATGCAGATGAAATGCAATTCCATATAATGGAGCTGTTGTTCCTGATGACCTCTGTGCACTTTAATGAATCTTTGACATCAATTTATGGACTGGACATTTTCCTTAAACTACATTTAGAAAAAAGAAAAGACCATAGTAACTGGTCTGAATGAGCAAAGAGAGAAAGTGTGCCTACTATTTACAACGCGTTATATGAAAATTACACGTCAGACAAGAAATGTAAAATTCTTACCATCAACTCTGTCTCACCTAGAATTTAGTTTAGCTGATTTTTACTACTACTACCTTATTTGTTTACCTAAGTAAATTGTTACATTTATGTTAAGGATTTTACTTACTTCTTATTCTATATTTAATGTTTTTACTTTCTCTCTCTTTTCTATCCAGTAACCAGATGGGTTAAAATGTAGATTTTTGTGTATCTCACTTTATTACCTCGTTAAGTGTTTCTGTCATTAGTTATCATTACTAGCTGTTACGCTTACTTTATAGTAAATACATCTGAGCTGCATTTTGTTTATTAATATGTCGGATGAATTTGTACTCTTGTTATTCTTATGAAGGCGTATTCATTTTATTACCTTCTCCCTCATATTCTTTGTACCTCTTTGTACTTCTTGTATTTGTACTCTAACCTTGACCTACTAACCAATCAATTTGAAATACATATTATAGCAAGAAGGAAAAAGGGACATGAGGAAATGATGCTAAAGGCACATTGAACGAGAGTATTGGTGTGAACACTGGAGGGGGCAGCCTCTAAGTGGTAACACAATATAACAATGAGGCAATTTAATATGAAGGTCAAGGTCTATTATTCACTAAAAGGCCGCAAGAGAAACAGTTACTACCCTCCTATTTCCTCCCCTTCTTATCTTTTTTTCTTTCTTTACCACGCACGCACGCACGCACGCACGCACGCATACATGCACGCACGCACGCACACAGTACTTACCCCCTTGTGGCTGCTAGCTTTGTTGATTGGTCCGACCACCTTCAGGTGAAAGGCAGGATTCAGATGGCCGTTTTTCCCTTTCTCCACCGATGCCTCCATCCTGAGCAGAGAAGTGAGGACAGGAGGAAAATAAAACACAAGAAACCATCGCTCTTCTTAATGTGGCATTGATTTCAGGGCCCCGAGTGGGAAAATAGAAAGCAGAGAAGTCTATAGGAAGTTTATCATCCAGGAAGATGTGAGAGAAAATAAGGAGGTCAAAGATGAAGCTGACATAGTTTCACCTCATCAACTTGATAGCTATTAGCAAACAGACATGTTTGTGTCCATTGAATGTCCACTTGTTTCCCTTTTATCTCTGTTTTGGCCTCCACCGACTCCTAAGGAACATATGTGTCTCTTTATCTGCTAAATTCTCCACTATGTTAACCAGCTACTATCTAACTGTGTTCACTGCTGTTACAGGTAGTGTACAGTGGGTTTATTAGAGATGTTTACTGACAAACAGATGCCTGCTAGTGGTGGAGAGCTGTGAGACTGAACCGTAAAGCCATAAAACCAAAGCAATGAACAAGAGGTTAAAGGGGAACTGCGGCATTAATGTGCACTGGATTGCTCAAATTTCATACAATAGAGTGGATTAGTGCAGCTCTACAATTCAAGATGTCACAAGCTTACTTGCTATGTATATGTTCCTTCCACCATACAGTACATGTGTGGACATGTAATCTAGTGGAACAACACAGTAAACTACAGACAACCTAAATATAAGAAGCTTCACAAAGGAAGGATTTATTGCAGGGTTTCATGTGATTGAACTGGCTCTTAGCTGATTGGACAGCTTTCCAGCCATACTGGATATACTGTATGTGTGCTTAGACACCCACTGTTCCACTGTTGAACTGTAAATGAACCCAAAGGATTGGCCATGGAACAAAACCAAAAAAAGGAGAGGGTTTCCAGAGCAGTTAGTGCCCTTAAGAGATTTTTTAATCATCGTAGCAGCTCAATTTTCCCTATCATGAGCCATTCATTTAGTTGTCTCCCTTTAGCTGCATTTAATGTCAAATCCTCCAGAGGCCCAACATCACCAATATTTAGCCCCCCCGGCCTCCAACTGGAAGGTCAGAGTCTTCAGGAAGGCTGCTGTAGTGCTGGATCCTCTCCAGATACATTTCTGTTCTTTAAATCACTGTGAGTATTTTCAGAGGCACTAACTCAGCCAGTGTTATGAGAGGCTGTTCCTCTGGGTGAGGAATATGGCGGTGCTTAAAAAGGAAGCTCTGGGGTTTATGAGGATGTTGTTTGGTTCTGACAGAGGAGAGCTGCAGCACAAAATATGACATTTATACTGAGAACTTCCGGCATATGAATGAATCTGCTTTGAGTACTATCAGACGTGGCAATGAGCACTTCCTTCCTTCCTTATTTCTGTTCTGTAATTCAACATTTGCCTTCCTTCTTTCCATTACTATTTCTCCCTCCATTAACCTCATTTTTTAAAATTCATTCTGCTGCCTAATTTTTCCCACTTCTTTTCCACCCCTTGCCTTTCTTTCTTCTTCTGTTTCCTGCAATATTTTCATTTCTTCCTCCTTTCACTTTTTGTCTCCCTCCGCTCTTATGCACACCGTGTGATATGTGAAGGATCCATTGCATAGTAATACTAATAAAGAATTAACGACAGATGAGAGAGACAGACAGACAGACAGACAGACAGACACACAGACAGACAGACAGACAGACAGACAGACAGACAGACAGACAGACAGACAGACAGACAGACAGACAGACAGACAGACAGACAGACAGACAGACAGACAGTCAGACAGACAGACAGACAGACAGACAGACAGACAGACAGACAGACAGACAGACAGACAGACAGTCAGACAGACAGACAGACACACAGACAGTCAGACAGACAGACAGACAGACAGACACACAGACAGTCAGACAGACAGACAGACAGACACACAGACAGTATACAGTACTTGTTGCTCTTGTTCTTCTCTCTCTGGGAAAGCCACTTATGGTAATAGGAGGTCTTGATCCTGTGGCAGTAGAAGAGCAGCAGCACTGCAGGCAGGATCAACAGGAAGGCAAACAGCAGTCCCACCACCAGCCCCACCTGACCTGTGGACACACACACACACACACACACACACTCATAATGTTGACATGCACGCTGATCACTGATATTAATAAGTCATATCCTGTTTCTGATTAGATCTTGGATGAGATGTTTACGTAGCTCATGTGTTGTTATTACCTCCACCAGGGAGGGCCTGTTTTCAGTCAGTTTGTTTGTTGTGTTATTCGTCTGTCTGCAGGATTATGGAAAGACTACTGGCTGATTTTCATGAAACTTGCTTTAAGGGTCAAGCATGGGACAAGGAAGACGGCATTAGATTTTCGAGGGGTCTGAATCCCTGGGGCACAGGGACCCTCGGCTGTGCTCTCCCAGTGACCTTCTAGTTAACACAAGTGTTCATGGTAATCATGTAGCAGGTATCCAATTACTGTCTGTGCAGGTGTGTTTCTACATATCTACATATACAGGCCTACAGATCATGTTAATTGGCTCACACCAAGATCTAAAAACACATTTGTCTCTTTTACTCTTCATACATGTATATATAAACATTTAAGAAAATATAATGAAAATCTGAAAATGACAGTTAAAGAATAATGTAATGGACAGTGAGTGATTGTCACTGAGTATTCTCATGAGAATAAGCTTTTATTGACCGATAGTAAATAACGTCCCTGAACTTGAAAAAATGGGTGGATTTAATCTTTATTTTGCGAGGAATGATCCTGCACTTTCTAAAAGATAAAGACAGGCTAATGCTAACCCCTATTTCTGTAAAGTCCCATATAAGTCAATTGAAAGGCCATTTTCCTTCTCGTTTTCCTGATAAACCCCGATGTCTTTCAAACTCCACATCCCCAGTGTGTAGAACAGAATTTCTGATAGCAATAGTAATCTGCATCGTCTGCCTGTCCTGTCATTAATTCAGCAGTCTGGACTTGCTGGGGGAACAACAGTTTGGGAACAGAGCTCTGGGCCCCGCACACCCCCAACAGAGGAGGATTAAACATGATGCTGTTGTTCTGCTGTGTCAGGGAGGAGGCCATGTTTTAGAAAATAATCTCATAACAGTATCGTGGAGGGAAAACCTGCATTATGATACACAATTACCCGTGTGTGTGTGTGTCAGAACTTACTGTCATACTGAACAGGTCCACTGTCCACGCTGCCGCCCAGTCCTGGCTTCTCACAGAAGGGGGGGGCCCACCCGGGATTACAGTGGCAGTTCCCATTACTGTTACACACCTATGCATACACACACATACACACACAAATGCAACAGTTAATGTGATTTGCTGTTCGGTCTCAGTATAATCTTGTATGTGTGTGCCTGGAGGTGCACCAGGCAAATTAGAAGCACTGATTTATTGGTTGCTACAGGTTACTGCATGTGTTCTAATGGGATTTCCCTTCATACACCTTTACATATTCACCTAAAATGGAGCAGAACACTGACATAACAGGCAATGATATCCCACAGCTGTGTGCTTCCATTATCTATGTATAGTTTACATTTGTATGTATTTTTTGTTTCTGAAATGGGGGAATAATGTTCAACTGCCCTGAGGCCCAAACCAACAGGGGCCCTAAAGGCACCAGGTTCATTGAGTTCATTTGGATTAATTGCTCATTTGTTTAGTATCATACTCCACTAAAGCATATATGAACTGAAGTGGGCCCTCTTAAATAAAAGTGCGTCCTGAATTTACACATATATACCGTATATATATATATATCTATCTATCTGTATCAACATTTGTTTTTGTGTTGATTCTAATCAATGAAAGACACATAATGACACTGCTGTGTGGACTACATGTATTGAGTATTTAAAGGCAACGTGAAATACACACAAAGAATATACAAATATTACAAAGTGTAAAATAAAATAGGTTAATAAGGCTCCAATTAACCCTTGGTGGGTGTTACTTACATGCAACACAACTTTTCATAAAAACACGGCTAGTGTGTGTGTGTAACAGGCCAAAAGAGTAATTGTATAATTTCAGTACTGTTAAGCGTAATATTATATATAAAATACCTTTTGGTGGATGATATAACAATATAGCTAACTTGCTGAAACATAAGGTTCAACCCTTTTCCACATCTATAAAGAAATGAATGAATAAATAAATACATACATAAATCAGTAAATAAATAAAGCTAGTCATTTCACCACACCAGATTTTGGAGTAATGACCAGTAAGCTGCCATCTTTGTGTCAAAACGTTGCATAAGTCGAAAAAAAAACCTCCCTTTACTTCCCCATATTCAAACCACCTTGAAGGGATTTTAATGAACTTGTCTCAAACTTGTGAAAATAAACTTTTTATCTAGAGGCTAGCATTTAAAACTTGATTATTATCTTCAGTCATCTTGTCTTATTCCCCACCGCCAAGAAAACACTTCCATGCTCCGACTTCATCAATATGTAATTATCCTATCAGTGATTAACATGCCCATTTAGGCCATTAGCACTTGGTCGACATGGAGGGGGCACAGTTGTTCACTATTTCTGGTACCTCTTTAACTTTAGGAGGCCTGGCAGGGTTTCTTTGTGAATATAAGCTTTTTCAGTTTTTGAAAAGCAGTTTTGTCAGTCATTTTCATACATGAAAGGTAAACCTTTATGAAATAAAATGCCATGACCTTGATTTATACACATCATTGATAAATAACTTAATCTGAAGAATATGTTTTGTCTTTCTTTTTGAAAATGTGTTAAATAGATGCTAACCAGTTGAACTTTCAGAAGTGAGCAATACTCTACTTCCCTGCTCATTTCCCATGTTTATTTGTATGGATATCCAGTGCACTCCCAAAGCCCGAGGATCATGATTAATCATATGATAATGCTAAATTACAAAACACAGGAGCAGACCCTAAACTGGGGGAAGGCAAAACGGTCTATTTAGAATAATCCTGACTCAAAGCCACTTCCATTATCCATCTGATGTTACACTGAGAGGAGAGAACAAAAAAGGGTCAAACAGCATGAAACAACATAGTGAAGAAAGAGAGGAAGAGGATTAAAGGAGGACAGGATATATCTTGTGTTTTTATTTTCTATCATAAAAGTCTAAATCCTAATCAAATAAACTGCCTGGTTAGCCTGTCGCTTAGAAAGTAGTTGTTGTGTGGCCTGCAGTAAAGGTTTGATAGAAAACTGTATCTGCAAGCTGGGAAAAGACGGTGCTAGAAGCCTGGTGACACGGCTACTTGAGCTACGGCTAAAAACGCTAGCCAACAGGGGAACGCTAACGCTAATGGACAATATCCATGTAATATTAGGAAAAGCACAGGTGTATTAAAGATAGCTGTATTCCAGCCTGTGTTGTAGTGCATGTAGACTCACTGCTACAGCTTACTGGGACACTTGGAAATTAGATATGAAGTATATAAGTTATACGATGAAAAAGGCTGATAGCTCTCCAAATGTCATAACTGATAGCTAGTAAGCTAGGTGGCATGGTTGCTAACCGAATGAAACAATGATAAGAAGCACAATTTGTATCTATACTGCTGTCTCATAACTGTCTGCAAATCACGTATCTGTGGTGAAGCAATTTATAATCCAATAGATCGAGCAGTCTTTACGACCCCTCAACGCGCTTTACATTTACAAGTCATCATTCATCCATTCACACAGAGCAATGTGTCACTTGCTCAGGGAAGCTAACTTTCAAACAAAACATTCATATACCGTTAGCCATGCCATCGGGACCAACTCGGGGTTCAGTATCTTTCCCAAGGATAGATTGACATGTTGACTGTAAGGGCTGGGATGCTGCGATCGAATCGACATCCTTTTAATTGAAAGATGACGGCACACCACTTTAATCTGCTTATACCCCATTATATCTCTAACGGACATCAGCTGTCAGTGAGGAACCACAGCCTGCCAGCTCAGAGGCAGGAGGAGTTCTGATGTACCTCCAGAGTCCTGTTGTCTTCCTCTCAATACTAGATTTAACACATTTTAAAATATCCATGAGGGATCTTAGTGGGACTTTAACGCTTTAGATCTGATGATGGCAGAGAGGCTTAACTTTGAATTTGTAACTTGTAATGAATCTGTAATACAGCATGAAACTGAAAACCCAAAGTTTCCACATGTATTCAAACTGGAGTAAGGCTTGGAATAACAAGACAGAGGACCTGGTGGGATAACAGTCAATTGTTCAATTCTGAATGAAAAAAAACACAGGTTTTATTTTCCTGTGGCTGTGCAAATATTACACAGCAGACAAAAGCACGTCAGCAGCTCTGGTCTGCAGCAGCTATCAGAAAAACCCTGGTGCTGGAACAATAATGGCAACTGCCATATTGCATTACACTGCTGTTTGTGTCCCGAGCCAAGCGGAAACATAGACAGAAAAATGAAAAGGTAAATCTGAGACCGGCTCAGCGTTTCATTTTGCTTCTAAGATCAAAATCTATTCTCAAGGATAACTGATCAACTAGTAATTCAGTACGGTGTGTGTGTATAGTATAACATTTCATCTATAACACATTATCTGATCAACCTGAACATCTGAATGTCATTTGGTGTCCTTTAGCAGGGATGATTTCATCTTTACTGCTACACACATGCTTCATATTTAAGGCATCCATCCATCCATCCATTGTACTTTTTTTTGTCTCTTTCTATACTTTGTTGTAACAATGTATATTCCAATTTGTGGGACGAATAAAGGAATCCTCATTCTGATAAATCTATCCATGTTTTATACCTGCCTATCCTTTGCAAACTCATTAAATGCACACATAGGCTTTAGTCTATGTTAGATGGGGTTCCTTGAACAGCCAATTCAAAGAATCCACACCATGTAATTAAACCTCACTGTTCAATAACGACTTTAAAGGTCAAAGAGTTCCCTGATAAATAACACCTATCTGCATCACCATCTTCTCTCTGAATAACAAGTGTTTAAGCCCCAAACACTCCACTCCAGAGCTTGGTTGCTGACTTATAAACTATGTATGATTTCTCCCTATCTGCCTCAGGCTTTGTTGTACTGCTCCGATGAATAGTTCATCACTTCAGTTGCTGTTGTATTCCAGCCATCTATTTTCCTGCCGTTTACGACAGCCTCTCAGTGACAGCGCTGCAAAACTCTACCTTCGCCCAAGGACACAGTGTGACAATAAGATTAGGGAGCTAGGCCTGGCAGCTAAGTGAGTTGAGTCTGTTGCACGGCTCCATATGCTTGAGTGTTTGTTTGTGTGTGTGTGTGTGTGTGTGTGTGTGTGTGTGTGTGTGTGTGTGTGTGTGTGTGTGTGTGTGTGTGTGTGTGTGTGTGTGTGTGTGTGTGTGTGTGTGTGTGTGTGTGTGTGTGTGTGTGCCTACCCCTTTTCCGTGACAGCGTGTGATGCAAGTCTCCAGCTCGGTAAAAGAGGCATTTTGGCATCGGCGGTCTCTGCACACCTGTGGAAACACAAGCAGAGAGATCACATGCTGTGTTAGAGATTACAGTGCACACACGGACACACTCACACACTCTGTGATCTGCCTTCTGCCTGCCCTTGGGCTTTGGAACAACCTGACTGCCTGAAGAGATTGGCCAAGTAGCAACAGTATCCTGTTTTAAAATCGCTTCCAAAATCACTTCTTGTATAGATCGTCTTTTACAGCTTGTAATGATGTTTATTGATCTGCCTTTGCCAAACACATTTGGTCTCTACGGATCCTCCAACACTCATTTCAATAAACTGTTTGCATCAATGCTGGAGTGGTGTTTTGTTTCAGAAGGAGCTAGTTGCCTTGCTTTAGAGATGTAATAGATGTTAAGAGGGACTTGTTATGGGTACAATCAGAGTTTAGTGGTGTACTACTATCTATATTATTATTATGTTGCATTGTTGGAGAAGCCTGTGACATAAGATTTTCAACGACATAATTACTCTGTAGCTATGTTAGTTTGACAATAAAGAACCTTGAACCTTGAGGGGTGACACTGATCTGGGGTCAGAGACTCTGTCAGGATGGCAAGGGGATGAGGCTGTTTGTTTTTGCATGTCAGCATTGTGAAGAGAAAGCGTCATAGAGGAATCAAAACATCGATAATAGAGGGTGCTGAAAATACACCATCTCTGATAAAACACCTTCGAACAATGAGCAAATACAGAAGTGCTGCAAGGAAATAAGTTTTACATATATGACAATGACATAAAAACATTCACTCCTGTGAAGTCAAATACATCACTTTTGTTGTTGTCGTTGTAGTCATTAACAAGACAATATGCACCCTTCGCCTAATTAAATGCACATTTAGAATTCTAAAATAGTACTTACAAGAGCTAAGTTGTAGGTTAGCAAATTCACAGAAATAATTCATGCTTTTTTTGTGATGTTTTATTCATTTCCTGCTCAACACAAACCTTTTCCTCCTGAGGGACTTTTATAAGGTATATCTACTTTCTGGAAATGTTGGAGAGTTGATTGACTGCACATTATTTTATTTTTTATATTTTAAATATTTGCAAAGTCCCCATAAGTGAAGTTGTTTACATTTGTTTTTTATGTTTGATGCAATGTTTTAAACGTGGCACATTTGTATCTACAACCTGTATCGCTTGTTCGTTAGGTGGCATTTGTTTTACCTGTCCATCTTCTTATCTCAATCTCAGAAAGAAGAAAAACATACGCGCCTTTTCCTTTTTTTACAGGGGGGGGGGGAGTTTTTCTTGCAAACTGCAGGTCATTATGCAGCACGTTTCACTGAGTTGCATTTGCACTAATAACAGTATTTGCATTAGTAGTGTATCTGCTAGTGTAACCTGTTGTTTTTGCCTCACCATTGTTTGCTAAGGGATTCATTTAGTGTAGGTGAATGTGTGACATTGTGATTGGAAACAGCAGCTTAGTGCTATGTCTGCATTTACTGCTGAGAAATGGACCGTTCCATAGGATGACTCAAAACTCATCATGGCAGACATTATTCTCTGCTGCCTATTTATAATATATTACTCATGCAGCACCATTCAGTCCTCTCAGCGCCCGCACAATAGCTGAAATGGAATTCAAGTGGCTGGAATGTGCTGCGGAGGGAAAGCAATATAGACAGAGAAATCAAATGTATTGGTGGATGGAGGGGACTGCAGAAACCCCTCGCTCTGGTGTGTGTTTGTGTATGCATCCCATGCATAATTCAGCCCTCATTTTGTATGACTTTTTTGTGTTTCTGTATGTGAGTTAACTTGGAATGTATTATTCCATCTCCATCTGACTTTGCAAACCAAATCAGTGCCAGAAAAAGTGCCTTAAACAAACACCTGAAAGAACAGACCTGCTGGGTCCCTGTCACATTCATTTTGGTATGAATTGGGCTTATATAAAACACAAATTATTTAAATATGCTTAAGGAATAATTGACTAATAGAAATTGGAACACAGGCAACAGAAAAAAAGAGAGATTGTGTGGGAGAGAAACTCCCTCTGGAGGGGACACAGGAATTGTAGCTGTTGCAGACCATATAGGAGAGAGAATCCCAAAAAGCATAATAGGGCCACTTTAACACACCTCTCCATTCATCAGCCCCAGAGCCATATTAACATCAATCTCAGTCACGGTTCGTCATTTCAACCGGCAAGGGGCAGGCCTGAATGTTTTTTTACTGCCCTTTGATAATAACACAGAGCGGTAAATGACAAAAGATTTGATTATAGTCTTAGTATGCTAACCTGGAATAATTGTCACAGTGACAGTGAACATCATGCAGGTACATACACTTTCATGCAAGTAAACCACTATATCAAGTCACTATATCAAGTCACTATATCCAGTCACTATATCAAGTCACTATATATCCAGTCGCTATATCCAGTCGCTATATCCAGTCGCTATATCCAGTCGCTATATCCAGTCGCTATATCCAGTCACTATATCCAGTCACTATATCCAGTCACTATATCCAGTCACTATATCCAGTCACTATATCCAATCACTTTATCCAGTCACTATATCAAGTCACTATATCCAGTCACTATATCAAGTCACTATATCAAGTCACTATATCAAGTCACTATATCCAGTCACTATATCAAGTCACTATATCAAGTCACTATATCAAGTCACTATATCCAGTCACTATATCCAGTCACTATATCCAGTCACTATATCAAGTCACTATATCAAGTCACTATATCCAGTCACTATATCAAGTCACTATATCCAGTCACTATATCCAGTCACTATATCAAGTCACTATATCCAGTCACTATATCCAGTCACTATATCCAGTCACTATATCCAGTCACTATATCCAGTCACTATATCAAGTCACTATATCAAGTCACTATATCCAGTCACTATATCAAGTCACTATATCCAGTCACTATATCAAGTCACTATATCCAGTCACTATATCCAGTCACTATATCCAGTCACTATATCAAGTCACTATATCCAGTCACTATATCCAGTCACTATATCCAGTCACTATATCAAGTCACTATATCCAGTCACTATATCAAGTCACTATATCAAGTCACTATATCAAGTCACTATATCAAGTCACTATATCAAGTCACTATATCCAGTCACTATATCAAGTCACTATATCCAGTCACTATATCAAGTCACTATATCCAGTCACTATATCCAATCACTTTATCAAGTCACTATATCAAGTCACTATATCAAGTCACTATATCAAGTCACTATATCAAGTCACTATATCAAGTCACTATATCCAGTCACTATATCTAGTCACTACAGTATATCGAGTCACTATATCGAGTCACTATATCAGGAACTTTTGTCTGACTGTCTCCTGATCCTTGGGCTATGGTAACCTTTACAAACATGACCACTGTTGTAAGCCAGAAAACATGATAAAAGGTCATATAAAATGTGAACCAGTACAGATAATAGAGCAGAAACACTCTTGCTTTTGTTCTTACGTTGTAAGACTCATCATAAACTCTTCGAGCCTTAGTTGCTCAGTGCCTCCAGTCTCCTCTCCTCCCTCCTCTCTCTTCAGTTGAGGGCCAGTTCTCAGGACCTGGCAGGTGTTCAGGCTCTTGGCAAGGGGCCACATACAGTAATTGTTGAGTCAAGTGTTGGTATTGATCAAAAGACCCTGTTAACCCGGTGGTCATTCCATGCTGTGGAGCTGGGAATATTCTGCTCACTCACAACAACAGGCTGTGATCTGATTCACTGCTCATGTAAAAGGGTTTCACTATTCAATTAAGCAACTATGGCATATTAATGACTAAATATGAAGATGAAATATAGGTACAAGGTAAATCTGTTTATTGACAGACTCTTATATAAGGTCCCTTAAACCTAGGCTTTGATTGTAACGGATTACGTGTGACGGGATTACAGGATACATTTTAATTGTATTCCCTTACAGTTACATTTAACAAAGGCATAATCAGAATACTGTAACAATTAAAAGTGGGGATTACAAGAAGGATTACAACATTACAAATACTTTAAAAAATAAAAATGTACATATTATAGGTAGACGTACTGCTTGATATTCGTTTGGGTTTTATTTAGGGTACTTTCATCTCCTATTTGAAATCTCTTTTTTTAAATGCAGTTGGTGAACAACTGATTTATTAAACAAAAACACTGTTTTTAATTGATGTATTCAACTAAATCATAATTTGTAAACTATACTATTCTGTAGGTCTATCCTGTAAGAGGACACATTTGTGATACTTAATATCTTGGTTTTTTCTTTTCTCAGGTCACATTGTTCTGTTGTCTTACATAATACACTTTAGCAAACACTTCTTATTGATATTTATTTTCTCTTGGATTTATCTGCATTGAATTTGATATTTAGGTAATCCAAAACTAACGGAAAGGAATCAGGTTACATAACTTTTATATTTTGTTGCTTGGATTAGGTAACTGATTACATTTTTCTACAGGTAACTTGTAATTGGATGGATTACATTGTTTAAAGCCCCCCCCTCCAGCCCTGCCCTGTGGACCCACCTTGCCCTCTCCACACTTGGTGCCGGTCATCACGAGGCCGGGGTCCGGCAGGTCCCCCTGGCCGTCCTGGGTGCTGTAGACGTAGGTGCCGCGGCACTTCACCTCGATGCCGTCCGTCTTGATGGTGGTGTCTATGGAGACGGCGTTGGTGCCTTTGGGCTTCTTGGCAGCACTGTGGCACTGGATCTTACCGCACTTTGCATCGCTGGAACATAACACAGAAACACTCAGCCTTTACATTATAGGGCAGGTCATCAGAGCTCAATGTTCACTTACTGTCACACAGCGAGGACTCAGTCAGAGAGCAGCTCCAGCAGCATGGAAGATATCTATATTTCACCTTTATTTAATGTAAATATTGCTATATCTTAATGTTTTAATGTTCTTAGTATCTGTACCTACTTGGCAATAAACCTGTTTCTGATTCTGATTCTATGCATTTGTGAGGCTTTTTTTAAAGATTTATATTTTTACTGGGAATTAATGTGCTCTGATATGGAAGAGACAAAGAAATGGTTGGTTTTGGTCATTTTATTGTGATTTGTTGACAATTAGAAATGTTGCCTAATTATTTTGGGTGTTAGTTCAATCTTACGTGCATATATAACATCATTTGTTAGTGGTTGTCAGCCAATATTGCTACATTACCCACAGGAATTAGCTGTGGATAGCAACCAATGAGATCAGAGTATTCAAATGAGCTAACAATTTTCACTCAAAATGAAACTAGATAAACTTAGATGTCTGTAAATGATGGACTGTATTTCTGATTTGCTTCTTTGTCTTAATCAATACTAGAATGAACATTGTTTTGCAGATGATAGAATCTTAAATGTCCCAGGCTGCACTCCAGCCCTGTTTCGTATTCAGTCTGCCTGCGATGCTTTCTAATTATCACTCCATGATCACAGACTCGTTTTTAATAGAGAAAAGACTGGTATTCTCCAACTCTACCACTGACACTGACTATCCTGCCATTACAACTTGAAATGTCAGTCACTCTTCGTGAGCCATACAAATACTTTGACCTGACAGCAGATCGTCATTCAAGATTCATACTCAACATTTGAGCCTAAAAAATGAAAGTTCTTGTCTACAGTATAATTAAAACGTGTCTCTTCCAACCATAGACATTTTGGGCAGTCAACCTTCATGTTTGTCCTTGAGAATGGAGACATTCTGCTCTGTCATGCTGCCCCATATTCACTTCAGACATTCATCCCTGTGTATCACATGACCAGATTCACATTCATCATTGTTCTCTGTCTCAAAAGATTTTTTGGAACTCCTTACAGTCAACAAGAGAAATCCATCATATGTTATTCAGTTATGAAGATCTACTGTACTGTTGGAGCTTCCGAACTACCTCTCCTCTCTCATTTCACTCTATTAATGATCTTCCCCTGAGTCTCGCATTCCACCGGGAGATTTTAAAGCTTTATATCAGTTCTTTTATGATCGTTACTGTTTTTAAGTCTTGTGATTCTCTTGTGTTGTTTCTGTTTTGCTGTTGTTGTTCTCAAGTCTCTTATGAATGTTAATGAGGCTGATTACATTGAGATTAAATCCAGTCGTCTATGATTATTTACTTTTTATGATGCAAACAATACAATCAATTATATTAAGCTTGAGAAAAAAAGGACTATACTATCACCAGATATCTGAACTTTTGAAAAAGATAAACCTTTATTGTAGTGGTATTGTAAACCCACATATACTCAGTCTTAGTTTGGAGGTGCCTCATCAACACATTTTGGGGGGAGAAAAGTCTGCAAACTGCCTTATCATCCTGATTAATATGGAGATTCAGATACCAGACACACACACACACACACACACACACACACACACACACACACACACACACACACACACACACACACACACACACACACACACACACACACACACACACACACACACACACACACACACAGCTCCATAAGAAAAGCAAATGACAGAATGATGGGCAGACAGCAGCTCTGTGTAGATTATTCACGTCTTAATAACAGGGCATTTACATATCTTCCAATCAGCTCTCTGACTCACTGTGGCCAGAAAACACTCTAATGGCTCCTGCGGGACTCCTAATGGATTTGGGCATAGTGGATCATACGAGGAGGGGGCGACTACTTAAAGCCACAGCCTAATTTACATAGCTAAATTGCTAATTTGGCTTCATTAATTACCTCTGGCCCTCTGCCAGGGAAACTACGAGGCCACGACACGCGACAGACAACAGAGCGCCTGACTGTGAGGGTCTGTATGTTAAGAGGAATATTATTATTAAAGTCAACTGTGATAGACACCAGCAGGGCTCATCATTTCATCATTTCAATAAAGCAGCATTTGCACCACTTGTTGGGAGGGAAACAACCTGGAAACACAGAATATGGCCTTATGAAGTTATCAGGGCAACATGTTAGTTGCCTATTGACTCAGCCAATGGACAAAAAGCGACCTGGCAGGGGTGTTTGTGTCCACCTGATTAATGTCAGTCTGATATTCAGCTACAGGTATTCAACATCTGAGCTCAAACTGTGCAGAGCTGAAGGACCTGCAGAGTTTAGTTATAATGGTCACTCCGGTGTGTGACTCAGTATGCCTCAGTTTAAATATTGTAATAACTTTATCATGTTTTGGTAAAGAAATTCAGGGTCACAGTAGCACATCAAAATGTATTGCAAAAAATGTAATTAACATTTTGAAGGAAGTAGGACAGGTACATTTTGTAGTCGGGGAAATCATTATTTAAAACGGAGCGGTGCGGGAGGATGACAATGTTAAAGAGCGCTCGACGAACCTCAGACAGTGAAAATCAGTGTATAAAAACTGAATTGAAATACTTTCTAGTCACATGCTAAATGTAGGGCATCATTTATTTCAGAATCAGAAAGCCTTTATTCCTCCCACAGTGGGGAAATATTACATTTGTTAAATCTACTTTCGATGCACTATACACTATTATAAATTACACCATCTTTTCCACCTATGTCCTTTTTGCAATACTTTGAATAAATTCAAAATGGTTAGAATTCTTACTTTAGCAGTTGTTTGTTTGTTTGTTGTTGCTTAGATTGAAAGTGTGTATGGAAACAGCATCTCCTACCTTTTCTGACACTTCAAATAGTTGCCATGTTCATCTTTCCCACAGTTCCCAAAAGCGTTCCCTGCGGCATTGACATCTTCGAAGCAGGCATCATGGGCCGGGCGGGCTCCTGGAACACAACATATCCCATCAGGCCTCTGGGCTCTCTTGCACTAACCCAGGTCAACAATGTTAGACACAGACAATAATGTTAAACTCCTGCAAACAGATGGACAGATCCTGCTGCTCGTCTACTGCAGATGTGATGGTGAAGATAACAGTCTAAACCCTCCTGCAGCTACAGTCAGAGATAAGAGATCTGTGACAAATGTGATATTCTAAGAAAAAGAGTCAGACGAAAAAACCTATATCAGTTTCATCCACTACATGTGGAATCATGCTTAGCTCACAGTGGCATTAACAGAGCTAACACATGGGAACCCCGGTATGAGGACAGGAGTTTTAGACGCTGTGTTCAGTCTCTGCACCAGCTGTTTGCCAAATCTCACTTCTTAAAAACAACAAGTCTCATTTCTGATTTCTTATTCTACATGAGACAGCTTTTGAGTTGTGTATAGCAGTTTTTTCCTACAGCACGCAGATGTTGTTCAAGTAAGGCTAAACACATAGCTGCCAGTTTTCATTTGAATACTACACCTAGCTAAAATAAACGCAGTCCCTCACGGTGACATTAATGTGGATGAGCTAGTTAAACTGACTGAATAACAGAAACACATCTCTGTAGAAGCCAATTAACTTCAACAGCACCACAAACTAAAAACGTCCAAATTGACAAGAAACTGTTGTTGTAAGTAAATAATCAAATGATGTACTTTTCATAACTGATTTTTATTTCAACTGGATAATTAATGATTGTATAAGTTACCACATTCCTACCAAAGTAATACAATCTATGTTAAAGAAAAGCTAATTTTGAACTTTGTTAAAAATAATGAAATAATGCAGTACAATGAAATAGGATGATACACATTAATGTCAACATTTCTTCCTGTTGTGCTCGGTCTGGCTGCTGTTCTAACACTGTCATGCTTGTCAATGCAGCCTTCCTGTCGAAAAGGGAAAAGAGCTAACCCTTGTAGCTTTGATGAGTGTTTATTTTGACAAACTGCTGTTATTCAGTGTGATAACAAACTCTGACATACAGTGAGGTGTTACTGCTGTGAAATCTGTGAGCAGAAACTGGCTCCAGGTGGTTTAACTCTAACAAACAGCAGAACCTCCGTTGGTGAACCCCTGATTCCAGAGTGTTTCAGGCTTCACACTGATCTGATAGTTTAGTTGCCCGCTCATAGAGTCTCATGATTGATTATCTTTCAACCCTGTTGAGGTTTCTCATGGGCTCTAATTATTGAACAGTTTGATTATATTATGATTTCTTTATCTCTTTTTGGAGCATATCACTAGCCAATTATTGAAGTTGGTATACTTGCCTTTGTTATCTCCTAAATTGAATGTTCAACTGAGAGTGTATTGGTCTGTAAATTAAAATGTTCATGTTCTGCATTGTTAGAATAATTGTGTTCAGATATCCTACAACTTTTAACTGGTTCTATGTATACCAAGTAAAAAATACAAGCTGTCCAATACAAATTATCCAGCGTCCAAAATTCATCAAAATCAGCACACCGGGGTTACCATTGTGGCCACTTTCTGGTTTCAACTCACATTTATGATCTTGAACATGTCAGAAATGGATTTAGTACCTCATTAACCCCTTAAATCACTCCAAATAGCCCAAATCGGTCATGCTCATTGTGTCCAATTATCCAACATATGCAGGATAGCATGCAGCAGTTTCTGTGCTGTGGACCCTACTATACATTTCTAAGATAAACTTTGGGGTACTCAACATTTCTAGGTCCACATTCATGGAAACTAGACTATGAGTGGTGTATATCCCTGTAAAGTTGAGTGGGGGGGTCAGTGCTGTGTGGTAATTGGCTGTTCTCACCGTAGCCCCACAGCTGCAGGCACTGCTGCTGGTGGGTGAGGCACATGCCGGTGTAGCAGTAGGCCACTCCGTACTGGCAGGAGGATCCGTCCAGCAGGTACACGTTGGAGGGGCAGTAGGGGGAGGCCCCGGTGCAGTACTCAGGCAGGTCACAGGCCCCCGCGGGCCCCCGGCACATGGTCCCTGACTGCTTCAGCTGGCAGAGACAGGGAGCAAACGGTGAGGGTTGTTCTTTGAAAGCTGCACAGCTCTTCCACTTAAATTCTAAAACACTGCACATATTCACACTCATCATTGTTCTCTAGATTAAACGCTTTTTTGGAACTCCTTCCAGTCAAGAAGAGAAATCCATCATATGTTATTCAGTTATAAAGAACTACTGTTGGAGCTTCCGAACTACCTCACCTCTCCTCTCTCATATTACTCTATTCATTTTCTTCTTTGAGTCTTGCATTCCACTGGGAGATTTGAGCTTTAGTTCTTTTATGATTCTGTTGTGCTGTTTCTGTTCTGCTGTTGTTGTTTTCAAATCTCTTATGAATGTTAATGAGGCTGACTGATTCAATTGAGATTAAATAAGTATTTAAAAAACGGAAAATGTTATTTAGTCGTCTATGATCATTTCCTTAATTAAAATGCTTTTTAAAATCGATGTTGATTAATTGTGGTCACCCCCCTCTCTGTTTGTACTTTCTTCCACGTAGTGTTGAAGAAATAGCTGAACATTTTATACAACAAACACTAAGACACCATGTCTATTGAATTCAGCACCAATGGTTGTTGACTTTATACAAGCCTGCCATTGGCTGTTAGAATCCTCCCTACCCTCCACTGTCTGTGTGTTCCCCTCCTATAAGAGCCCCTTCACTATATCATGGGCTTAGAGTGGCCAAGGTCATTATGAATGGTTTAAAGGAAGAATTATAAAAATGTGGAGCCAGCGCTGACACAAGGTGGGTCGGAATCTGCTAGAATGATTCCACGATAATCAGAGAATAAAGGGGCAATACGTGCCCATCAGCCTTTTTTATCCTATAAGCAGGGGTTTGGCTATAGCAGAGTCATAGAAACAAAAACACATCATATGGACAATGGTAATGGTGTTATATACTGTAACTGTGTCAAGAGGGCTTTGTGGTGTCTTTAAAGGTGATGCTGTGTAAGTAAGCATTGTTCAAACAGGCAGAACAAAGTTACATTTAGTTTTGCATTTAAGCTTTTAGAAGATCCTGAACAAGTCTATCATCATTTTCAAACATCTAGTTTATCTCCATTTGAGAAAAAGGCCCTTGGGTAGATAGATAAATAATATGCATTGAAGGTTATTGTTATGCTGTGGTTGAATAGTGTTTCTGCTTAGCAGGGTTTCTTAAAGACTGAATGACCCAAAGCACCTCAGTTGAGCTGCTTAAATTCTCTAAACGATAATAAAATAAGCTTCAATGCTTCCTATATTATCTCATTGACATAGCATACCATCCTTTATTCAAGTTAAGGAGATAATGCTGTCCCACAATTCCTTGCTGTGGCAACATCCTAATATTCAGCTTGCAGCTTTAAGAGGAATGTAAAAGACAGCAAGCGGCATTACGAGTTTGAGTATAAATGAGTGGAATAGAACAGGAAAGTTAATAATAGGTGATGTAGTAAATAGAAACAATGGCAGTTTATCTGAAGAAAATGATGCAAGATGAATATATTAACAATAGAATAAGCAAAATAAGAGAAAGGATGTGTAAAGAAAGGATACACAATAAACAGAGACAGAATGGAGGAGGCTCCTCTTCTGCAGAACTTATTGCCGTCTTCAGCACTTTGCCTCTTCTGTCAGGTTAAAGCTCAGTAGAGTTTGGGTTCACACTGGTGGGTTCACCATGGGATGTCAGAGAGATGAGACAGAGGAAGGTGTGTGATGTGAAGCTGTGCTGTACAGGACGTCAACACACTGCACCCTGACTGACAGGGGACTAATGACACTGAAACACTGCTGCAAATGAGGCTCCCTCCCACGCTGCTGCCTGCATGTGTGTGTGTGTGTGTGTGTGTGTGTGTGTGTGTGTGTCACCTTGCAGCCCTCGCAGCACACTCCATGCGCACACTGAGCCTCCTCCTTCAAGGTGCAGTTATTGGCATTGCAGCAATCATTGGTGCATTCCTGTAAGCACACAAACACACATGTTGTAACACTCACTTTACACAGATCAAACAGCCTCACTCTCCTCAATAACTGGCATTTATTAGAACGTAAACATTTGTAGGAGTGGGAAACATTATTTTATAACATTGCAATACAAATTAGATTTGCAGGTTTGAAAGTTAGCAAGTTATTATTCAGGGTTCTAAACTATACTGCCAACCGTTGTACATGTATTTTTTAAGAGTAATAATAATGACAGTCAGTTATGAAGGTTGGTAAGTCAATTATAAGGTAAACAACATAGTTTAGTTGATAGAAATATTAGAAAGCTATTAATAAAGTAAATCCTATTTAAAAGTATTAGTAAGTTATTAATAAATGGCAATAAGATAAGTTGGCCTTGTAAATGTTCATACAGAAGTTAGATATATTAATGGTATATTGATAAAGTAATACATCAGATTTAAGTCCGGGGATATTATGTAAGTAAGTCATGAAAAAAAGGGCAATTCCAAAAGTCCATTATTAATCTTATAAGGCCATTAATAAAGGTTAGCTGGTAATTAATAAAGAGCAATAAACATGAATTCAGCGCTTCTATGTGTCAGTTAGTGATTCATAAAGGATCATTATTTAACAAAAGTAGGCAGTTGAATAAGTCATCAATGGTGGCTACATATAAAGGTAGGTGATTGTAAATGAATACAAAACAAACAAGCTAAAAAGAAAACCCATTTTATATAGAGCAACTCACTTCAGAGTGGTACACACACACACACACACACACACACACACACACACACACACACACACACACACACACACACACACACACACACACACACACACACACACACACACACACACACACACACACACACACACACATCAAGAGGATTGACAGCTGTGACTGACACACAGATGTTGGCAGGAGGCAGAACATTTAAAATCCAGAGAAGTGCTTCTGCTAATGCTCATGTGTCATACCATGCTCAGAGAAAAAAACATTTCTCGTCGCCATGGCGCCCTCTGACAAGCCCTGTTTACAATTTAAAAGAAATGGGGGAGTTGAAACCACAGTGTATGGTTGAACCAAGCAAGATGAAAGATTATGGGTAAACACAAGGAGAAGAAGAGGGATGTTCCTCCAAACAACAAGACTTTCCACACACACACTGACACTTTCAAAATAAAACCTATACCTCTACTGTAAAATCCTGCAGCAGAGGAGAGCTTTTGGTTTACAATGAGTGTGTGATGGTGTCTGATCTGAATGCAGAGTGGGGGGGGGGGGTCAGCTCCACTGTCAGCGCTCTCACTGCCGTCATCACAAACAGCCGCCAGCGCACCGCTGTCAGACACCAATTTGCTTCTTCTGTTTTCAATTTGCTCTGCTGCTTGAACCTGAGTAGGTTTATTTAACCTCTGGGTTTATTGAGCGCGAACACTTCATCTCGATTTAAGGAAACTTTAGCAATCTTTCAGCTGTGTTGCACAAAGCCATGGAGAGCGCATTATTCAAGAGGCTGAAACGACGCTGCTCTACGGAAAGAGCTTACTTTGGTGACATGTAATGAATAGACTAGATAGCACGTTTGAAAGATTTAGGTTTAGCATTTCTGCTTTGTTTAATAGTGAGAGAGACAGACAGGGGGGGAATTTAATGTTTGCCGCTCTACATGGTGAGCTATATATTATATATAGATCATTTTAACTTAAAGTCCACCTCCAGTCTTATTTTAAAGTCTGTAAATGACTCTGATACAAGAACTATTTGGATACATGGGGTGTTCCACATACAAAGTATAATGAACTCCGGAAGCACATCCATTCCATTGCTCATGCTACGTGGAGCAGTGTGAAGCATATGAGCGACATTAGATTACAAGCAGTAAATAGCCTGAAATTGTTTTAGTTTTTTAAGAAGATTTTTATAAAACATGAACAGTAAGAACACTCACACTACATTTTAAACAACGAGTGCTCCATCTGATAAGGAAAGATGGTATGATATGATAAAACAATCTACAGAACAGCTACTAAGTGGACACTTTGGAGATTTTTTTGAAACAATTGGCTTCTAATCTGTTTAGTAAAGTATAAAAACTGTTAATACAAAAATGGAAGGTAAAAATCACAGAAAATATATTTACGTCAGACTGTGTGGTAATACAGTCACGATTCTATCAAACGATGAAAATATGTTGAACATTTAAGATCTTAAACATCTAGGAATAGAGAAAATAGGCAAATCCACTATAGTATTTATAACATATCTCTATAAATAATTTGATTTGGTGTTAGAGTCATACAGGCTTGAGACGAACAGGAATAAATGAAGATGCTCACCTCAGGCTCTCCACAGTCGCACTCCTCTCCGTCCTCCACAAAGCCGTTGCCGCACTTCTTGCCCCCCACCAGGTCCTTCATGTTGGGCATGTTGAAAAGACACATGCCCCCCCCCTTCTGGAAGTAGCTGTCCAGGTCCCGCTTGCTGCAGCGACTGAAGACACGTGGGAACGGATGGCTGGAAAGGGACAGGACATTTTTAAAGAGCTGAATTATCTACAGTAAACGCTGACTCCTTTCTTCCACTGCTCAGAGAAAAGACTTCCCTGTTTCTTGGCAGTGCTTTGAAATGTTGTGGGACATCATACCAAGGCTTTCATTTTTCTTTCATTCTGTGTTTCTTTTAAATATTCAAACTTAAAAGACTACACAGGAAATGAAATATCAGAACTAGTGATTACAAATCTATGATTGTAATAAAGTAGAACAAAAGAGAGAAATCTATCTGTCAGAACACTCTAGCTTCCTCCAGCTGATTCATGTATCTGTGAGAGACACAGCTCACGTCTCAGGTCTCATGTCTCAGGTCTCATGTCTCAGGTCTCAGGTCTCATGTCTCAGATCTCATGACTCAGGTCTCAGGTCTCAAGTCTCATGTCTCAGGTCTTATGTCTCATGTCTCAAGTCTCATGTCTCAAGTCTCATGTCTCATGTCTCAGGTCTCAAGTCTCATGTCTCATGTCTCAGGTCTCATGTCTCAGGTCTCATGTCTCATGTCTCAGGTCTTATGTCTCAGGTCTCAAGTCTCATGTCTCATGTCTCAGGTCTCATGACTCAGGTCTCAGGTCTTAGGTCTCATGTCTCAGGTCTTATGTCTCATGTCTCAAGTCTCATGTCTCATGTCTCATGTCTCAGGTCTCATGTCTCATGTCTCAGGTCTCAAGTCTCATGTCTCATGTCTCATGTCTCAGGTCTCAAGTCTCATGTCTCATGACTCAGGTCTCATGTCTCATGTCTCATGTCTCAGGTCTCAAGTCTCAGGTCTTATGTCTCAGGTCTCATGTCTCAGGTCTCATGTCTTATGTCTCAGGTCTCATGTCTCAGGTCTCAAGTCTCATGTCTCAGGTCTCAAGTCTCAGGTCTTATGTCTCAGGTCTCATGTCTCAGGTCTCATGTCTTATGTCTCAGGTCTCATGTCTCAGGTCTCAAGTCTCATGTCTCATGTCTCAGGTCTCATGACTCAGGTCTCAGGTCTTAGGTCTCATGTCTCAGGTCTTATGTCTCATGTCTCAAGTCTCATGTCTCATGTCTCATGTCTCAGGTCTCATGTCTCATGTCTCAGGTCTCAAGTCTCATGTCTCATGTCTCATGTCTCAGGTCTCAAGTCTCATGTCTCATGACTCAGGTCTCATGTCTCATGTCTCATGTCTCAGGTCTCAAGTCTCAGGTCTTATGTCTCAGGTCTCAGGTCTCATGTCTTATGTCTCAGGTCTCATGTCTCAGGTCTCAAGTCTCATGTCTCATGTCTCAAGTCTCATGTCTCATGTCTCAAGTCTCAAGTCTCATGTCTCATGTCTCAGGTCTTATGTCTTATGTCTCAAGTCTCATGTCTCATGTCTCATGTCTCAGGTCTTATGTCTCATGTCTCAAGTCTCATGTCTCATGTCTCATGTCTCAGGTCTCATGTCTCATGTCTCATGTCTCAGGTCTCAGGTCTCATGTCTCATGTCTCATGTCTCAGGTCTCAAGTCTCATGTCTCATGACTCAGGTCTCATGTCTCATGTCTCATGTCTCAGGTCTCAAGTCTCAGGTCTTATGTCTCAGGTCTCATGTCTCAGGTCTCATGTCTTATGTCTCAGGTCTCATGTCTCAGGTCTCAAGTCTCATGTCTCATGTCTCAAGTCTCATGTCTCATGTCTCAAGTCTCAAGTCTCATGTCTCATGTCTCAGGTCTTATGTCTTATGTCTCAGGTCTCATGTCTCAGGTCTCAAGTCTCATGTCTCATGATTCAGGTCTCAAGTCTCATGTCTCATGTCTCAGGTCTCATGTCTCATGTCTCAGGTCTCAGGTCTCATGTCTCAGGTCTCATGTCTCATGTCTCAGGTCTCATGTCTCAGGTCTCATGTCTCAGGTCTCAAGTCTCATGTCTCATGTCTCAAGTCTCATGTCTCATGTCTCATGTCTCATGTCTCCTCTCTCCTGCCCCCTCTCTCTGTCTCCTCTCTCCTGCCTCCTTTCTCCTTCCTCCTGCCTCCTCTCTCCTGTCTCCTGTCTCCTCTCTCCTGCCCCCTATCTCTGTCTCCTGTCTCCTGCCTCCTTTCTCCTTCCTCCTGCCTCCTGTCTCCTCTCTCCTGTCTCCTCTCTCTATCTCCTCTCTCTGTCTCCTGCCTCCTGTCTCCTTCCTCCTGCCTCCTGTCTCCTGTCTCCTCTCTCCTGTCTCCTCTCTCTGTCTCCTCTCTCTGTCTCCTGCCTCCTGTCTCCTTCCTCCTGCCTCCTGTCTCCTGTCTCCTGTCTCCTCTCTCCTGCCTCCTGTCTCCTCTCTGTCTCCTGTCTCAGGTGTCTCACCCGGTGGCAGCAGCCATCACACACCGTGGCCTCCTGTCTCCCGTCCCCTGTCCCCTGTCTCATGTCTCACCCGGTGGCAGCAGCCATCACACACCCCCCCTGCTCGGCCGTGGCCTCCACACAGCAGCCGTCGTGGTCGTGGCTCATGCCGAAGTTGTGTCCGATCTCGTGGGCCATGGTTGCCGCGGCGCCGATGGGCAGCTCAGAGTGGTCCTGTAGGGGGACAGAAGGGGGTCTCATTAGAATGACTGACAGCATCATGAGCAGCTGTGTAAACGCAGACCTCCAGATTTGAAGTACATCCTTCATGCAGGAGTCTTTTTTATATTTGCCAGGACATATATAAGCTCCCCTTCTTCCTGTTTGTCCCACTTTCTGTGAACTGGTTTGATAAGCTCATGTCATTTTTACTCTTGCCTTTGTGGCAGCTGATTGGACGGTTTTAGAGGTAGGAAAGGAGTGTTATTGTTGTATCATTAAAGCTTGAACCTCTTTCTACTGCTTCATCATTTTTTACTTTTACCTGAATGGACGACCCTAATTTGAACTATGACCCTTAAGAAAAACCTAGAGCTAACTGAAGAAACAATGAATACAAGTTTATATTCTAGGTGACATTCTGCACCCACAAAAGCAAAGACAATCAAAAGAAAATAATGTGCTTCATAAGTGCATACACTATTGAAAATAGAAGTTTACAATTATCAACTGAGCTTAATAAAAGCCAAACAAGGGAGACACTTTTTTTGCGTTTTCGTCTGTTAATTGTTTTGTGTTGTTATTACAGTTTTCTTGATACCCATTTTGAATTCAAGTCAAACCACATGTATTCAACAGACTGGAGGCACAGATCTGGTGGTTATCTTACAATGTGTCGCCTTTTGCATATGCATTTAAGGGGAGATTGCACAATTAATATGATCTGACATGTAAACAGGGTTTGATTAGGTATTCCTGTATGTCTGACATGAACGTCACAGGAGGAGAGGAGAAGCTTAACTCCTGAAGAAGCACAGCCAAAAAGTCATAGTTTCAAAGGTAAAGAGAAAGTCAAACTCCCAAGAGCTGCACACACACACACACACACACACACACACACACACACACACACACACACACACACACACACACACACACACACACACACACACACACACACACACACACACACACACACACACACACACACACACACACACACACACACACACACACACACACACACAGACACACACACACACTCTTTGATCCCCTGAAAGCTGTCATTCACACTTAGCTCTGCTTCTGAATTATGCAGACTGTATAAATTGGGCTGTGTTAACTGTCAAGAAATGTTGATGTTCTGCTGTGAAATCCTTCACATGCTTTTTAGTGTTCTGGGGGTGAAACGGCAGAAGTAATAAAGTGTGTGAGGGTGTGAGGAGGTGAGCGAGCAGCTGGGTCAGTCACAGGACATTTAGATTCTACAGGGGGCCGCAGGGAGCTAACAGCCCATTAGAAGCTAATCAAGCTTGGAGGAGCTATCGATCCTGCAGTCCACTACACATATATGAAGCCATAGAGTTACAGCAAGTGAATAATACTACAGAGGCTCTCTGCAGGCAGCCAGGCAAGATCTGAACGGCTGAACCCTCCAACAACCAAGACAACCACAGCAGAAAACTTCATTCATATACTGTAGTTCTTCAAAAAGAAGAAAAAAAGAAGAATGTGTGCTTGTAGGAAAAAAGATTTGTATCCCCGGAGTAGAAATTAACATTAATATAACATCGCCTGTCTTTATAACATTAAACTTAGATGGCCTTCCTTACTATGTTGTTCGTAAGCAGCCTTGTCAACAAACATCCATACATGGCACCAAAACCAACCCAGTCTCACGGCATTTCGTGTTATTAGTCACGAAATTAATTTAATCTATTGATTCGTGTTCACCAACACGATTTTCACCTTTTTTTCGTGTCACACAGAACGATTTTAAATGCAATGTATTTCTATTGGTAGTATGTTTCGTGCCTGCAACACGTCTTTTTGTCCGGTCGGGTCTTGGAAGACCAGAAGTTGTGTGGTTCATAAACACATGTTCTTACTCAATATCTTACCCTAAGCCTAACCCTATCCCTTTTATTTTAAATTGTATAATGTCTGAGTTTTTTTGCCGTCAGTGAGGAAAAGAAATGGCTCAGAGCCTCAGAATACTGAAATCTGTATTTTATGTCATCTTTTTTTCCTTCTAATTTGTTATTATTTGGTGCAGGCACGAAAACATACTACCAATATAAATACATTGTTTCTAAAATCGTTCTGTGTCAGAATACTTAAATCTGTATTTTTTTAAATGTCTTTTTCCTTCTAATTTGTTATTATTTACATTGCTTTTAAAATCGTTCTGTGTGACACGAAAAAAATGGCGAAATCGTGTTGGTGAACACGAATCAATAGATTAATTTCGTGACTATAACACGAAATGCCGTGAGACTGTGTTGACCAAAACACAGCAAAGGCTATCCAATTGGCTATTTTAGGATGATAAATAATAAATAATAAATAATTCTTATACAAAATGAAGATCATCCCCTGCATTACATGTTGTAGTTATGGTATGCTAATAATTAGGTTAGTGGGAACGTCATGTTTCTGTGGTCAAATCTGGTAAAGATAGTAAGGCACAGAGCTGGAGTCAGGTTAGCCTAGCTTAGCATAAAGACGTAAAGCAGGGGGTAACTGGAAACACCTAGCATTAGCATGTTACTCATTGACTTATCAGTTCGTCAGTTAATGCTAGCAGATTCTGCTAGTGTTAAAAAGTAGCTAATTAGTGCTAACTGCTTCAACAGAATGTAAATGTGCAGGTGTGTTAGTGTTGGGAACCTTTCTAAAGTTGTTTTAAGGTCAAATCATATTTTGTGGGTTTAACGTAATGCTAGTTTGATAAGGTCATATTATGTTGACTCTTGTTTTTGTGGCAGCTGATTGGTTGCACTGAAGGATTTAGAGGTATTAGGATGGCATTAGTCAACTGCAAACAAATATTGTAAACAACGGTATTATTGTAGCATTGTTGCAGCTTGAACCTCTTACCACTGCTTGATCATTTCAAATTGCACCCGAATAAACATGGACAACCCTAATTTGAACTTAGACCCTAAAGAAAAACTTAGAGCTCAATAAAGAAACAATGACTAAAAGTTTATAATTTAGGGGACAATCTGCAGGCACAAAAGCAAAGACAATCAAAAGAAAATGAATTCAAGCTGGAAGACAATATTAAGAGTGAAAAGAGTGACAAGTAAACAGAGCAGGGAGAGGAAATGATAGAGTGTGAAATAAAAGAGGAGAAATGTCTTTCCACTCACCACGTTGATGCCTCCAGAGTTTTCCAGGCTGCACATCCCCTCCAGCGGTGCCATCCCGATAGTCGTCCCCTTGAAAATCACACCGCTATCGGAGCCACACACACACACACACACACACACACACACACACACACACACACACACACACACACACACACACACACACAGACACACACACACACACACACACACACACACACACACACACACACACACACCGAAAAATCACTTAACCTTAATCTCCTCCCTGTTCACTTACAGGCTCCACAGTGGATGCACATTGATTGCAGATGCAACAGCAGGGCACAGACCTGACGAGCGTGTGAGATGTGTGTGAGTGTGTGTGATGAACCTCGATCCACCGCGTGGCATCCACAAACAAACTGAAGCCGGTCTGATGAATCATTACAAAACAGGCCCTTTGGTAATAACACAACTAATTATGGAGCAAAAGGGGCTAACAATTGAATGACTGCTTATGGATGTTCATGTGTGTGTGTGTGTGTGTGTGTGTGTGTGTGTGTGTGTGTGTGTGTGTGTGTGTGTGTGTGTGTGTGTATGCCAGCAGTCAGACTGAGATGCTGCTGCGTTGTTTGGCCCAATTACAGGCGACTGAGGCGAGATCTTTTGCTTAATAAAATCTCTGTCAAACTAATCATTTGTCAATTGATACACTAACGAAATATGAAATGACCTGACCCAAAGCTGGGTGTTTCTGTCATCAGTCACATAGAGGCTCACTGGGAGGGGGGATGTGGAGTTAATCAGCATTCTTAACTGAGGCTGTGATGATCATGAACCTGTGTACTAACCGTGTATCAGCAGCGTTCTACCTCAAAAAGAAACTCAAGCTGCTTTTGTTTGAAAAAGTGTGGAAGGTTTTATATGTTGCATAATGAGCTATGTTGCTTATATATCAGCAAAATAATTACTTGCCAGAGATGTAATCTATACCAGAGCAGAGAATCATTATTTACTGTGCAAATACTGGCTGGCTTATACTCCATGTTAAAAGTGTTAGATTTGGCAGCACTCTGTCAGCTCTACTGCTGCTGTCTGCACCGTTAACAACTGACACTCTTAGCTGCTAGCGGTATACTCAGCCGTTCTCATGATGACAACTGTTTGGAGACAATAAAGATAAGATGTACTTGTAAAAATAATGTCTTGCAGCACCATAAAAAACAAGGCATTGCACATAATTGGAAATTAAAAGAGTAGAAATAAACAATTCTAAAATATTAACATCTCAAAATAGAAATAAACCAATCTCTCGATCATAGATGCTATGCATTTTGTATTAGCACCTTTGACTCGGAGATGGGTAGATTAGCAAAGAAAAAATACTGTTACTTTAAAAGAAAAGTTACTTTCAAATTACTTTTTGATTTAGCCTAGCCACTAATCTAAAGGAGACATACTTTGTGTATCTTCAATGCCTACTAAACTATGAACTTAATTCATTTTTTGAGCCTAGGTCAGAAATCATTGGATTAAATAAGCGATTCAGATTTGGCTACCCTAACTCTGTCACATGCTCATGAGAATATACCGTAGCTTTGCAGAGGCTGTGCCTTTTGGGGAGAGACCGAAAGAGACATGCACTAAAACAGAGCTTCTCAGACAGAGGTTCAATACAGGTGCATCAAGCATGTGACCGTGTTCTAGTAGAAACACAAAATACATGAACCTGAAAATGAGCACAACGTTTTCTTTAAGTAAAAGGAAAATACCTTCAAACTACTGCATTTGTATGTGAATATTACAGGTTCCCATGTATTGTTTCCATTCCCATCACAGACAGCGACAGATCAGATGTGACCTGAGAAGTGGCCAAATTAGTTTAATCCCACTGTTAATCTTTAATATCAGATGATTCATTTAGGCTAATTAGGAAATAATGACTTGTCGTTTTTTTATCTTGAATTGCCTATTAAATGAGGGTGTGTTCACTGAAGGCCCCTACACACCGGGCCGATTTTCGGCGTCGATAGATGTCGATAGGTGTCTGGCCGTCGATGAGCGTCCTGTCGCCCTACTCAGATTGGTGTGTCCTGCCCCGTCGTGTCTTTTCGGCCGTGCAGACACCTTCCGCCACCGATTCAACATGTTGAATCGGTAGGCCGGTAAAAGGCCGTCGGCAAGTAGGGGACCCAAACAAACGATTAAGAAGGCAAATCTGAGATTTAGCTCCAGCTCTCGACACAGGTTTCGGGAAAGCCCCAGAGTATGGGCTTAGATTTGTCTCATAAATATTTGTGTGAACATAAAAATAATTTGTGTGTAAATATGTGATTTGTAAAACACCATGCACAAATGCATTTAAAAGATTTGCAAACTGACAAATACATTTGCAAATGTGAAAAGGATCTGCAAATACGCTAAATATTTTCACAAAATAAAATAAGATCTGTGAATACTATAAATAATTTACAAATAAACAAAAGGAATTTGTGAATATCTCTTTAACATTGACAACTTTCGATCAGGCATTTGTGAATCTATTTTGTATTTGTCAACCAAAAATGCGCTTGTGGATCTCACATCTCTGCTTGTGGATCTCACATCTCTGCTTGTGGATCTCACATCTCTGCTTGTGGATCTCACATCTCTGCTTGTGGATCTCACATCTCTGCTTGTGGATCTCACATCTCTGCTTGTGGATCTCACATCTCTGCTTGTGGATCTCACATCTCTGCTTGAAGATCTCAAATCTCTGCTTGAAGATCTCAAATCTCTGCTTGAAGATCTCAAATCTCTGCTTGAAGATCTCAAATCTCTGCTTGTGGATCTCACATCTCTGCTTGAAGATCTCAAATCTCTGCTTGAAGATCTCAAATCTCTGCTTGAAGATCTCAAATCTCTGCTTGAAGATCTCAAATCTCTGCTTGAAGATCTCAAATCTCTGCTTGAAGATCTCAAATCTCTGCTTGTGGATCTCACATCTCTGCTTGTGGATCTCAAATCTCTGCTTGAAGATCTCAAATCTCTGCTTGAAGATCTCAAATCTCTGCTTGAAGATCTCAAATCTCTGCTTGTGGATCTCACATCTCTGCTTGTGGATTTCAAATCTCTGCTTGTGGATCTCACATCTCTGCTTGAAGATCTCAAATCTCTGCTTGAAGATCTCAAATCTCTGCTTGAAGATCTCAAATCTCTGCTTGAAGATCTCAAATCTCTGCTTGTGGATCTCACATCTCTGCTTGTGGATCTCAAATCTCTGCTTGTGGATCTCACATCTCTGCTTGTGGATTTCAAATCTCTGCTTGTGGATCTCACATCTCTGCTTGTGGATCTCACATCTCTGCTTGAAGATCTCAAATCTCTGCTTGAAGATCTCAAATCTCTGCTTGTGGATCTCACATCTCTGCTTGTGGATCGTCTTTTTACACACACATGGGCCCTTTCTCCTTTCACGAATTACCCCTCCTCGACTCCTCGGTCCTCCGGTAGTGACAACGTTTAGCCTTACTGAAGGCTAACCTAAATACGGTGCTTTTCTACAGATAACCTGACCACTGCACTGGTAAGGTAAAACTAGGCCGATTAATAAGATGGGAAGTGCTTTGTAACTTTGACCCGCTTGAATGAATACACACAAAATATGAAGAAAGAATTATCTCTGGGGCTGCTTTGCTGCCAGCTGTTGCCCCCCGGGACCCGAAAGTGGCGTAGCCTAAGTAGCCTACTTCAACAACATCAATGCATACGAACACAAACTAACTGTATCACTATAACATGATGGTGATAAAGAATGCACCTAACGTACCGCTGTTCATTAAAGTAATACAAAAACGGCACATTAAACAAACCATCATGCTCTTACTTTGAAACCTTGAAATCCGGAAATGTCATCATCAGCAGGCCATCACGTGGTTTCCGAAAATAACCGAGTGACACGAGCAGATTTCAGTCGAGACCGGCGGAAAGTTTGTCTCAAAACTCTGTGGCCCTTTCTCATTTCACTAATTTTCCCTCCTCGCCTCCTCGAATCCTCGGTCCTCCGGTAGTGACCCGGAAATGGATTTCAGCGCGCCATGTGGAAGGACATCTAATTTCTCTAAATGCACTTCGAGGACCGAGCATCGAGCATCGAGGAGGCTCTCTGGAGGAGCTATAATCGAGGATACACTGATGGGTCCTCCGCGCCAGTCCGGGGATGTATTTCCGGCAACAGAGATGTTTCAAAGAGTCGTGACGCACGGCCGGACTTATCTCAGCCAATGACAGCTCTGCATGCATACCCTGGATATTATTTTATTAACTGCTTTCATCGCGACGCGATGTTTACAGTGACAACAAATGTGAGGTCCGTGCATATATCCAGTCTCTGATTGTGTTACGTTATTATGAGAGTGCTCTCATACGTGTTTGAATCTGAAATTGTATATATTTATATAAATATATGTGTGTATATATGTCCGCATCTGTAGCCTGTTATTGTCTCATTATACCACACTGTGAATGAATCAAAGTAAATATATAAGTCATCATGAACACATCTGTCCATCAAACAGAGTGCTGCTGTGCCTCCTGTCATCATTAATGGACGTCTCTTTAAAATGACCGCTCAGAGGAGAGGAGTTCTCATTTCTCTAACCGCCTGCTGCTTCCCCTCCTCTCTCCTCGGTTCCCCTCCTCGACTCCTCCACTCGCATCTCCTGTGGGCGGGACTAAGACACGAGGAGGGGAGTCGAGGAGGGGAATTAGAGAAATGAGAAAGGGCCCATGTGTGTGTAAAAAGACGATCCACAAGCAGAGATTTGAGATCCACAAGCGCATTTTTGGTTAACAAATACAAAATGGATTCACAAATGCCTGATCGAAAGTTGTCAATGTTAAAGAGATATTCACAAATTCCTTTTGTTTATTTGTAAATTAATTATAGTATTCACAGATCTTATTTTTTATTTGTGAAAATATTTGGCGTATTTGCAGATCCGTTTCACATTTGCACATTTATTTGTGAGTTTGCAAATCTTTTAAATGCATTTGTGGATGGTGTTTCACATTTACAAATCACATATTTACATGTTCACACAAATATTTATGAGACAAATCTATGCCCATACGTGAGCTTCTCGCTGTAGAGTGAAAATAGAACGCACACGCTATTTGTTGTTTGTTTATATCATGCAGTCTGTTCTTCTTCTCTCGGTTATCACGCAGTCTGTCTTCCGGTTGTTGCCTCTTTTGAATGACGAATACAAACTACCGCCGCCTGCTGGTAAGGAGAGTTATTGCCACTCACGCATGCGCAGTGCGTACGTGCTACTTGGCCTTCGGCTGAAGTCTTTGCGGTGTGTTCCAGTGCGACTGTTGGCCAAGACGCAGAGACGTGAGGCGACACAACAGTCGGGTCCGTCGGGGACGTGTTCTTTGGTGTCAGATTGGTGTGTAGGGGCCTTTACTCCTAAAGGCCGCTACACACCCACCTGAGACCAAAGAACGCTACGCCGCCCGCTACGCCGCCCGCTACGCCGCCCGCTACGCCGCCCGCCTACGAACACACCGCAAATACTCCAGTCGACGAGTGGCAATAACTGTCCTTACCAGCAGGCAGCGGTAGTGTGAACAGCCAATCAGAGTGATTGCTTGGATCGGCCGCGGGAGGCATCGGGAGGTGTAAAAAGGTGCCGTAAAGAGACGACGGTGCGGGACACACCAACCTGAGTAGGGCGCCGCGAATGCCCGACTGCCTCTGACGGCCTCTGACTCCCAAAATCGGGTTGGTGTGTAGCCAGCTTAAGGAATACCATCTGCTCATTCATGTCCACAATAAAAGTATGCTGTTTTTTTGTTGCGTTCTCCGATGTGAGGGTCCAAGGACAGAGGGTGTCTTATTCATATTCTGTACAAACTGTAAAGTCCACTGAGACAAATGTAAAATGTGTGATATTGGGCTATATAAAAAAACTTTGATTGATTGCCTTATTTGCTCTTAACTTTTCTGTGTCTCTTTGTGAGGCTACATCACTGAGCACGATCAGTGTTTTTAATAAGAGCGCGCTGCACTCACAACTGTGGTCTGCAAATACGTTTATAATGCAGTATAGACGTTAGTCAGATTTTTACGCAAAAATATTAACTTGAATAAGATGGAAATGTTTGCTCCAATAAAACTACTACAAGTAAAATGTAATTAAAACTATACCTGGTTACTATACCTCTGGTGTTAGTGAGGGATTGTGAGGAATGTGAGAACAGACACTCAGAGCTTGTGATGTTAAATGTTGCGTGATTAATTAAGATGCACAGATGTTCATTTTTCAGGTGATTTTATCATCTGTGTTCAGTGGACCGCTGCAGTTCACTGTGAGTCTTGGAGCTTCTCATTGGATTAACAGGTACACTTCTATTGGTCACACTGTCTGGGTATATCATGCATTAGAAACATATTTATAATGTGGCTTAAGCACTGATTATTAATTCAAGTCAAGAACACTCAGTAATGACGCTCATACATCACATACAGCTCACTATCAAAAATCAGAGGGTATTATAATTCCCAGTTATAAAACATTATAATCTTTATACACAATATCACTTTTATAATGCATTGTAATATGGTCAGTAGTTGCTTTAAGTTCAGTAAGGAGGTTCATACTGCACTGAATAGGAAGACTACAAGCTGTAATGATAACTGGTGATTGTTAGCCTCAAGTCAAATGAAAAACTTCATGAAATGTAATGTGAGTCAGTCTACAGCAAAAAATAATTATAATAATGATACTTGAGATTATAGTTTATTATTACATATATAATGTCCTGTGAGTAATGTTGTACAGCATTATGGATGTATATGTACTTATAACACTAATTATACAAGCAAATAACAATGCATTTAGCGTACTATATGTTATTTATGCATTTGGACATGATATTTTTACTGCCTTTTTGTATCATCAAGTATATGAATCCCTTCTCAATGACTAGACTCTGTACTGTAATTCATTGACATACTGTAGATAACAGACGAACAGTGAGTGGAGTTAAAGCAGACAGACAGCTGAGTGTACAGTAGCAGATCACACTGTAGAGCTGGAGCAGTGTGTGTGTGTGTGTGTGTGTGTGTGTGTGTGTGTGTGTGTGTGTGTGTGTGTGTGTGTGTGTGTGTGTGTGTGTGTGTGTGTGTGTGTGTGTGTGTGTGTGTGGGCAGGTGCAGCAGCAGCTGATGTCCTCTGTCAGCTCAACACTGAACCTCACACTGCATTTTAAACAGCAACTTGTCGACAACTAAACTGTTCTGGTGGGTTCTGTCCCAGGATTCATGTTACATCTGATTTGGATAATACATATTTGATTTTATATATTTTTGTACAAGTCCCTGTTTCCCTCGAGCCTGCATCAGTACAGCAGCAGATAGTGATCAGGGAAACAGTCATTGTGGCAATTGATTTGGTTTGTTTCTAGTTAGTTGACTTTTCACCAGTACTACGAATCCAGTTCAACATACCCTGGATATGTTTGAGTTATCTGGCTTAACTAACCCTGACAAAAGCGATCTCGCTAAGCGGTCCTACGACGCTGGTTATCAACTCGGTAAATCAACCCAGGGTTTCTCTGTCAGGCTATGAGCGCGTTCACGTGAAAGGGGCGGGGTTAGCAACATTTGACCAATCACAAACATAGAGAAGCGTACTGACAGCGCAGCGTCATACTTCATGAATGAAAAGTAAACTATCACATTAGACAAATATGAAGAAGTTAAACTTTAAACATCTATGACTTAAGCAGATAAACCAGGATAAAAGCCACATAGCTGCACCTGCAAGGTGAATACAGAACAGCTTGTAAAAAAAAACAAAAAAAACTACAGAGTGTTTGAATGCGTACATTAACAGGTTTATGATATCACTGCTCCATCTAAGACACGAGTGGATCTGACTTTAATTGCATTTGAGTGTTTCTTCAACTTAACGTGTTGCTTAAAATAATACTTTGGCATACAGTATGTGACAATGTAAGTGTTGCACGGCCAGATACGGCTCGAGAAGCTGACTCAGATAAGGAAATATATGATATGTTATGATATTATATGATCGATGATGTGATTGATGATGATGTGATATGAATGATAAGTGGGACACGTCGGCGTCTTCCCTGCATACGGCAGTTTAAACTGTATTTCCTTTATCCTGTAATATGACTTGATAGCTTTAAACTCCGCACACTGAGCTCTGATTGGTCAGCAGGTGGTGCTTTCACTGAGTTGATCTCTTATCTGGAACACAACCTGCTCCGGAGCAGGTTAGGTGTTCAGCATAAGTTACCATGGAGATCTACCCCGGTAAGAAGTGAACCAGCGTCGTAGGACCGGAAACCCAGAGTTAACCCTGAAGTTACCTCGCTAACCGCAAATCCTGCTTTGTAGTACAGGCCACTGGTTGTGTGCGTTAGACTTGTGTTTTGTTTCGGTAAAAACATTTTTTTTTCATATCGTCAGTTAGCTGAGTTTCTTCCCGTTAAGTGGGTATGACACATTAATAGTTTCTTAAATGGTAAGCCAACTGTTTACTGTTTTAACCTGTTAAGCCCGGCAGCCCCCGGGCTGCCGGGCTTAATAGGTTAAAACAGTTTTTTAATACGGAGGGAAATGGGTAGCCCACAAAAAATTGACTGGGTTTTTAGTATTCAAATTCATATTTTCATTTGGGGATTAGTAGGCACTCCAGAAACCTAAATGTATATGCACAAGCACAACAAAGTTATTCATGATATGTCCCTTTTAAACTTGTATTCATTCTAATGGTCTAAAGTGCAGTTCTATAGAGTCTATGACAAAAGGAGCACACAGCTTGCTTCCACAGTAATATGTTCCCAGAGGTTTATGGTCTCAATAGCTAGTTCCAAGTATCTTCATTACAGAATAATGTATTTACAGTCAATTAGACAATGAGAGTTAGGGCGTTACGGCGGCGTTGTGGGGTTTGGGTCTCATCAGTCTTTTATTCTTTGAAGTTAATTCTATTGCTGGTGTGTTTTCTGTTCATGAAAATTAATTGTTACATCTTGTTTGCCTAACATTTCTTGGTCAGGGTTCAACTGTACTTAGTTACACCCTCTTGTGACACTGATAGAAAAAGAACCTATATGGAAATGGCAAAGAACTAGGCACTAGTGCACAAACCATTTGGTGACATCACACTGACAACTTGCAATTCTTATACTGTATGTAAGTCAGTTTAAAAAATAAAAATCCTGTTTAGCTTTTCAAATGTTACAGTATAAAAAAATAAGATCAGAACAGGTTTTTTATGACCTAAAAACTGTTTTAATGGCCAAGATCCGACTACACTTTTAAGTTGATATAGCAAACTTGTAGGTACACAGCCAAAAAGCACTGATATATATTATTCTTCAAAACTACAGAAGCAATCTTAGGCTTCAAATCTATTTTCCTCAACTAACAGAACTTGTGTGACCACATTAATTGTGTTTTGGGACAGGAGCGCTGCAGGAATGCTTCAGCCGGAGCGCAGCTGAACAGATGTGACGAGGACTCACAGCTGCTGTGTGGCTGATGTGCTGACATGACGGCTGTCAGCTGTAAAGCTTAACTTTACTTGTGTGTGTGTGTGTGTGTGTGTGTGTGTGTGTGTGTGTGTGTGTGTGTGTGTGTGTGTGTGTGTGTGTGTGTGTGTGTGTGTGTGTGTGTGTGTGTGTGTGTGTGTGTGTGTGTGTGTGTGTGTGTGCATTGCTCACGTCAGCAACTGGGCGTTGTCGTGTTTCTTGCGGGACTTCAGCTTCTGTCTCCACTGGAGGAAGGACCAGAGCGTGGCGTTGGGATCCTCGTTGACGATGCACTGGTCTCTGTCCGTCCACACCTCCAGACCAATCAGAGGCACCCGGATGTTCAGAGCCCTGTAGAACTAAACACACCACAAAACAACAACAGATATGTACCTGCATACACAATCTTGTCATGAGCTCCAATAACACAGTCTGGTCACACAAGGCAATTTCTCCGATCTCCCTTTAAGGGCTGTTGAAGGACAATATTGATTCAATTCTCACAGGCTTTCATACAACAGAAGATTTTGTGTACACTGTTCAATCCCTAATTATTGATTTGGAACGTCAACAATCTTCAGATATGGTTGGTAATAGATGATATGAAGATGTGTGGGGACAGTGCGGCAGTGTCTATCAGTTGTTGAATGGGGCTGTTTGTTCTCTTGAATTGCAGTCTGAGCCCATCAGCCTTACCTTATCCACGTAATTGGCAATTTCCATTATCCTGGCCTTGGTTTTTTCGTAGTCCTTATTCTGCCGCTTAAACTGCAGGACAGGGAGAATGGGGGAGTATTAGAGGCAGGAATGAGGTCAGCGGTCAGAAAAATAAATAAAATCTTGAAGATCATTCTTTGTAAAGCTCCCTGCAGAGAATAATGATCCATGAAAACATAACTATAACCCCACCATTCCCGCTTCACCACTTAAACCTCGCTTCATCATCATAATTACACCACTTACACAATGGACCAGACTCCTTTTGGTCGCCATGTGCGGTTACCATGGCATTAATGTAGAAGACAAAACCCTATCTGGCTTTTATGAAGATATTGCATCTCCTCACTGCAGCTCAGTGTCTATTTAAAAGCCCTTCCACCTTTAGATTCCAACTGAATACATGGCATTAAGCAGACAAATCTTTCTGCCTAATTTCCACATGCTTCCGCCTCGCTGTGCCTATCATCACTTCAGAGCTCTCAGCATGAATAAGCTCTATTAGCTGGAATGGGATAATTGTTAAAGACGTGGACCTGTTTCCATTCTGCAGCTGTTTGATGGCTGTGTGGCGTCAGTGGAGGTCTCACACTGATGGACCAGAGTGAGGCTGTGGAATATAAGAGTGGAGGGCTCCTGTCAGCTTACCAGAGTGTTGTCGGCCACGATGTACAGCTCCATGTACTTGGTGGTACCCCCGGCATCCCTCTTAACCTGACAGAACACACAGAGGCAGGAACATGGTTAGCACAGGACTATAGTGAAGCGTAACCTATAAACTATACTATATTATACTATACTACACAGTGCTATAATATACTATGATGTTGCCCGTAAACTTGGAATCATTTGGTTTTCAGACAAACTCCTCTTTTTATTCCTATTTCATTTTCACTGTGATATGTTTGGAAAAGATTGATCAATAAAGTTTGGAGAAGATATACACTTTATCTATCAAGAATAAATCACATTGTCACAATTATTTCAAGAGGTAAAACATTTTTTCCCCAACTTTATGGGTAACAGTGTATATCATTCTATACTCTATTGTTCTATAATAAACTATATTACACTGTACTATAATGTACACTATCATGCTATACTAGACTGTATTATAATATACTGTATTATCATATACTTTACTGAATATACTCAGTTTACTACACTGTATTTTACAGTTATGGTATTCTACAGTGCATATAAATATAAATAAACAATATTGTACTTTACAACAATGTTCTATAATAGACTATATTACACTGTACTATAATGCAATATAATGTACTTGATCATGCTATACTACACTGTATTATAATATACTGTATTATCCTATACTTCACTGTAGAATAATATACTATATTATACTCTACTACACTTTACTGTAATATACTCAGTTTACTAGACTGTACTTTGCTGTTATGATATTCTACACTGTACTAGAATACACTATATATTACTTCACTACACTGTACCTTTTTCAAAGATATATTTTGGGCGAGAGAAATGCCTTTATTAGAGATACACAGGTGAAAGGGGGAATAGAGGGGCTGACTGAAGTTCTCCACAGGTTCGAGTCTAACCCGTACCTGGCATCGGACGGCTATATCATTTACTATACTATACAAGCATATTATATATATAACTTTACTACACTTTAATTGTATATACTACATTACAATTTAGTACAAATTCAATAATTGACTGTATTATATTTCACTACAATGTGCTACATCATACTTCATTATAATTTGCTACACTGTATTATAATGATTATATGATAATATATTTCATTATACTCAACTTAAATATCATATACTATCATATACAATGCTACACCATACTATTTTTTAGGGCGGCTTTGGCATGTCTCTGCCCGGGGCCCAGTGTTTCTTTATCCATCCACGGGTGTACACTGTTGGGTTGTTATTTGAAAAAAATGATCAAAGGAAAGATCTTTAAATAACTGATTGAATTTTAGGGCAAATGTTTTTTTCACCATTAACAATTATTATATAAAGCTTTAAGTTCAAGAAGGACTCTTTTACATCTACTGTATTACAATCAACAATACGACTCACGAAAAAAGGAAAAAAGGTTACTTCACAGCATTCATGAAATATTTATTTCATACTTGTATGTATTTATCTTACTCTAAAAAATCCCTGTGAGGTGGGTTTTACTAGTATGATCCTATAATAGCTTATTTTCTGAGTTTTTTAAAACTCTACATTATTAAATGATTATGAATACATTTAATTCATGAGGAGTCAATAAGGCAGAACTTTATGTACAGACACAAAGTACAACACAACAGAACAAAATATGAAGTTTTCCCAGTGAAATATTGTCATTTACAAACTACAGGTGTGAACTATTTAAGAACTACAGGTTCTTAGTGTATCTTTATCTTGATACTGCAGACATTCTTCAACACTAACTAGAACACAATTCTGCTGGAAATACTGCACATATTAATGTGAAATGTAAAGACTAACGCATGTAAGCAGGTAGTGGTGTCAGTAGAGCAGAGCAGAACAAAGCCAGGAACTGATATTGACCTAATAAAACTGTTTAACACAGTATGAAAGCTTAAATATATAGGAGTTGCCACCCATGCTGTTGTGTTTAAAAGCTTTACGACTTCTTATATCCCTCCATCCTCTTAATACTCGATTACAGCCATTAGGGAAAGGCTCTGCTGTGATTAAAACTCATTGATTTACGTGCTGCCTGGACTCAGTCTGGACTTAACACTAATATTGGCGGGGAATCTGTGGCACACACCGGCGCATTCACACATCGCATTGTTTATGTGAGAGGCAAATAGTGGCAGAAGCCCTGGGACTCAGTCTGCTGTTTCTGCATAACAACAGAGGATTAATGGGGGCAGAGCGGGGGGGAGCCGAGGGGTGCAGAGCAGCAGGGAGAAAAACAGAACATTTGGGAAAAGGATGACGCCCCGGTGGAGAGCTGAGAGGGTTTTAGCATGTGAGGTGGGGAGAAAGATGGTGATGATGAACACTTTAAAATGATTGAGAACTTATAATGGGAAATGATGAATATGAGGAGAAAAAGCAAAGAATGGGTCGCAGCAGTGGAGACAGATGAAGGCACAAGGGCCCACCGCGGTCCCTTTGATCATCTATAACTGCAGATGAGCAAATTCAACTTGTGTTTTTTTACTCTATAAAGGCACGGGGAATTGACTCACAGCCATGGCCTGCCCTAAACAGAGCTGAAAGGCTGAGACAAAGCCATAATTCCCTCCATTTCCAGGTGCAGCCAGAGTCATTTGGCGGCCCGAAATACCACCAAGACCTTTTCAATACTGTGTTTGCATATGACAAAGACCATTGCTGCTGCAGGGCCAAATGCTCTCATGTGGCCGGAGATTTCATTTAGCTGTGTGATAAACCAAAGCCAAAGAGAATCACCTCTCAGTCTGTCACGTTGGTGTCTTTCCAAAGTTCTCCCTGTGAAATTCAATTTCTTTACAAACAACCTGATACCATTACCAATAACACAACACTTATAAAGTAATACCGATACCGTTAAAGTATTTCATTTCTGTCTGCTTTATTCTCCCCTCACATAAAAACATTCTGTTGCCAACCAACCCACATGCATGAGTCAAATGTAATGAGGTACTACACATTATTTTAATTTAATGCTGCATTATAATTATTCTCCACTTTGTTTTGAAAGCCAATATTTCACGTTGTACTCCCCTATATTCATCTGACAGCTTTAGCTTCTTAACAGATACAGATTATCAGCTAATACAAAACACAAGTCAACTTATATCAAATTATAATTATATGTTTAAATACCCAGCAGCAGGATATAAAGTAACTCCACATTAATGCATCAATAATAATAATTCATTCATTAATATATATGGCTCTGAAATTGACTATTGCGCATGACATACTTTTACTTTTGGTGTATTCAGATGTCAATACTTTTGTACTTTTACTTAAGTAAGACTTTAAATGCAGGACTTTTACTTGTGACTGTGTTCTTTGCAATTCAGTTTTTCCACTGCTCCTGAATATCTGAGTACTTCTTCCACCTATGGCAGGAGTTGGAGCTGCTGCGATAATGGGCCAATCACAGGTCGCAATAAATAAAAGAACACTTGCAGTGATTGGCTGCGAGCTAAACTATACAAATAGTCATTTCTTTCTGCAGGAATCATTTTGACTGAAAATGTTTTGATAATATTTGGTACCTGGTTACTGGGTAAGGTGTTACCTCTACCATGCTCCACTGAAAGGTGGGGAAGACCTTTGAAGACCCAAAACACTGAGCACTTTTTGGAGCTGTTTGACTGTATGTGCTGCATCACAAGATTAAAACCAGAACGTAACACACAGGTTTCACAAGGCTGTTTCAAGAGCTGTAGTCATGAGAGTTGAGTTGAGCTGAGGTCATCAGATCTATAACATCAGCTTTCTGTGACAAAACTCTGAAATATGATTACCAAATAAGCCTGGTTCAACAAAAAGGCACCAGCCGGGAAATATGGATTTATTTAGCCGTTAAATGGCAAAACCCCTGAGCAAAAGTTGTAGGAAGTCTACAACAAACTTTATATTTTGGCTGTGGTATTGCAGCAGAAATAATTTTTCCAATGTTTTTGACAGACTTATATTTTGGGAATCCACTTGTTCGTCATTGGATTCAGAGAGATGCAATTGTTATTGATCTTTTCTTCTGTGTTTGGGCCAGACAGCAAACTATTTTTTTTAAATGTAAAGTTAGTGTTGAAGACAACATCAATATCTTTATATCAGAAAAACAGCCCTAATATGGTCTTATTATGGTTTCAATAAAATGAGTGTGTGTGCGACACTCACCCTGGAATGGAACTGTCCCAGCAGGTTGGAGATGTGGTTGTAATGCTGGGTGGGATGGCCGTGTCCACAGCTCCCTCCTTTAATTGGCAGTTCCTCTGCCCTCCACAGCGAGTGGTGGGGAAGATCCACACCACTGATTGGCTCCAGGTAGTAGGTGTCACTGGAATTCAAGGATATCAGGCCCCTGTGTGGAGGGAAAATGACAGGAAGAGGACTTAACGCTGGTGAGCTTGTTCAAAACTCCATACAGGATAATGGGGATTTCTAGGAGAGTTTAAGTTCTGCCCCCAAGAGACCGAAAATAAATCAATGAAAGTAGTTGAAGTATAAAATTGACAGTAAATAACGACATGTCCTTTTTTTTTTAGATTTATTAGAATGTTATTTATCTGCCAGTTTATGGAGCTATAAACAAGCCCCGGACTGAAAGTTGAAGCACAATTTCATAGTGGCCATCAGCGGTACTACAACTTCCGTGTCTATCCTTGACGTCATTGGGCTCAAAAATATTCTTTCCGATTGGTTTACATTGAGAACGAGACATCGGTAGATCAGCGTATTATTGTTTTTTAGCTGAATCAAATTTCCATTACGATCAATTGACAAGCCCTTATTTAAATCGTTAGGAAATTCACAAAGTAAAATGCCCTGAAAGCCGAATCCAGAGTTATTGTACCTCTCCATTTCACCAGCCAGTGACGCTGTGGATTGAAGGCGGGGTTTAATGGCACTCTCTCTGAAATCTACGCCACCTAGCAACTTTCATAGGAATGAACATGGCCCTGCCTTTGACAGGGTCTCCAGTTCTCTTCATACATCCATGGTTCTAAATGCTAGCATGGTCTAAAACTATCTAGATACATTGTTTTATTACCATCATATATCGGTGAACAAGTATTTTTGTCGTCAATTGCAATTTTTGAATCCAAAAGATCGATAAGTGCACCAGTGAAACAACTGTCCTCTAAAGACTTCTCTCTCGCATTACACTGACATAATGCCACCTATTTGTTTGTGTGCATGCAGACAAAAGAAATGATGGAAACTGGGGGCCATCATCCCAACTCGAACGGGTCCTCCCATCATCTCCTCTCTGTAACGGCAGATTGTTGTACCACCCTTGAATGTGGACATGTGGAAGAGGTATAAACACTTTGACTTTGAGACAAGGTCGCAGGACACTTTGTTCCAACTAGATCAATTTAAACATACTAAGGCTTTTAAGCTAGCAAGGTTTCAGAAAAGTGTCTAATGGATGCCTTTGGCTCCCTCCATCTGTTACCTGACCCCTGTTCTGCACCTTGTAGCGGCCCCCTGAGAGGAGAACGTATTATTTCCCGTGACACCTTGTTTGTTTGTGCGTTGACAAGTCGGCCAGCTCCACCTACCTAATTTCCATAGTGAGATCACACAGTCTGCTTGTCCCTTTTATATCCACAGGCATTCAACACGGGGAAAATAATGATATATGAACGGCTAGACAACCATGACAGATGATCATTCTAGCCATGTCAAAAGCATATTGATGGTGAACATGGAGAACGTTAATATTAACGGACGGAATATGTTCCCTCTTGTTTTTTGTTCAGCATTTTAAGTAGGGAATAATCATGCTGTACGTTATGGAATGACACTTACTGAAAATGCATTGGGGGCCATGGAGTCAGTTATCTGAGGGATACAACTTGACACCCGTTGTTTTTATATATATTATACATTTAATTACATCATTAAATTGACCCTAGTAAAAGTATGCTCGATCAGCTATTAGAAGTTCCTGATAGCAGTGTATCCATGCATATACAGACCTCATTTCCAGGTTCGTATCAGTATGTAGTGTCTCTACTTTAAAGAGTCCTCTCCTGCTGATGTTCAGGTGTATATCAGTATGTAGTGTCTCTACTTTAAAGAGTCCTCTCCTGCTGATGTTCAGGTGTATATCAGTATGTAGTGTCTCTACTTTAAAGAGTCCTCTCCTGCTGATGTTCAGGTGTATATCAGTATGTAGTGACTCTACTTTAAAGAGTCCTCTCCTGCTGATGTTCAGGTGTATATCAGTATGTAGTGCCTCTACTTTAATGAGTCCTCTCCTGCTGATGTTCAGGTGTATATCAGTATGTAGTGTCTCTACTTTAAAGAGTCCTCTCCTGCTGATGTTCAGGTGTGTATCAGTATGTAGTGTCTCTACTTTAAAGAGTCCTCTCCTGCTGATGTTCTGGTTCGTATCAGTATGTAGTGTCTCTACTTTAAAGAGTCCTCTCCTGCTGATGTTCAGGTGTATATCAGTATGTAGTGCCTCTACTTTAAAGAGTCCTCTCCTGCTGATGTCCAGGTGTATATCAGTATGTAGTGTCTCTACTTTAAAGAGTCCTCTCCTGCTGATGTTCAGGTGTATATCAGTATGTAGTGTCTCTACTTTAAAGAGTCCTCTCCTGCTGATGTTCAGGTTCGTATCAGTATGTAGTGTCTCTACTTTAAAGAGTCCTCTCCTGCTGATGTCCAGGTGTATATCAGTATGTAGTGTCTCTACTTTAAAGAGTCCTCTCCTGCTGATGTTCAGGTGTATATCAGTATATAGTGTCTCTACTTTAAAGAGTCCTCTCCTGCTGATGTTCAGGTGTATATCAGTATGTAGTGTCTCTACTTTAAAGAGTCCTCTCCTGCTGATGTTCAGGTGTATATCAGTATGTAGTGTCTCTACTTTAAAGAGTCCTCTCCTGCTGATGTTCAGGTTCGTATCAGTATGTAGTGTCTCTACTTTAAAGAGTCCTCTCCTGCTGATGTTCAGGTGTATATTAGTATGTAGTGTCTCTACTTTAAAGAGTCCTCTCCTGCTGATGTTCAGGTGTATATCAGTATGTAGTGTCTCTACTTTAAAGAGTCCTCTCCTGCTGATGTTCAGGTGTATATCAGTATGTAGTGTCTCTACTTTAAAGAGTCCTTTCCTGCTGATGTTCAGGTGTATATCAGTATGTAGTGTCTCTACTTTAAAGAGTCCTCTCCTGCTGATGTTCAGGTGTATATCAGTATGTAGTGCCTCTACTTTAAAGAGTCCTCTCCTGCTGATGTTCAGGTGTATATCAGTATGTAGTGTCTCTACTTTAAAGAGTCCTCTCCTGCTGATGTTCTGGTTCGTATCAGTATGTAGTGTCTCTACTTTAAAGAGTCCTCTCCTGCTGATGTTCAGGTGTATATCAGTATGTAGTGCCTCTACTTTAAAGAGTCCTCTCCTGCTGATGTTCAGGTGTATATCAGTATGTAGTGTCTCTACTTTAAAGAGTCCTCTCCTGCTGATGTTCAGGTGTATATCAGTATGTAGTGTCTCTACTTTAAAGAGTCCTTTCCTGCTGATGTTCAGGTGTATATCAGTATGTAGTGTCTCTACAGTACTTTAAAGAGTCCTCTCCTGCTGATGTTCAGGTGTATATCAGTATGTAGTGCCTCTACTTTAAAGAGTCCTCTCCTGCTGATGTTCAGGTGTATATCAGTATGTAGTGTCTCTACTTTAAAGAGTCCTCTCCTGCTGATGTTCAGGTGTATATCAGTATGTATGTCTCTACTTTAAAGAGTCCTCTCCTGCTGATGTTCAGGTGTATATCAGTATGTAGTGTCTCTACTTTAAAGAGTCCTCTCCTGCTGATGTTCAGGTGTATATCAGTATGTAGTGTCTCTACTTTAAAGAGTCCTCTCCTGCTGATGTTCAGGTGTATATCAGTATGTAGTGTCTCTACTTTAAAGAGTCCTCTCCTGCTGATGTTCAGGTGTATATCAGTATGTAGTGTCTCTACTTTAAAGAGTCCTCTCCTGCTGATGTTCAGGTGTCTATCAGTATGTAGTGTCTCTACTTTAAAGAGTCCTCTCCTGCTGATGTTCAGGTGTATATCAGTATGTAGTGTCTCTACTGAGACATGTCTCCATGCTTTAATGTTCAAAAAGCTCTTTATTTTTCTCATACTGCCTGTGCTGCAGCACCTCTTTTCACCCTCTGTCTGAAACCAGAGCCCAGTCTGCTCTTCAGCTGGGATCAAATTAAATGTTGTTCACAGTTCAGTTATGAGGGTCCACAGTGTTTAGGTCAACTCTCTAGTGACAAAATAATCTAAACTTTATAACCATTTGCTAACAAATGTAACTTCAGTGAATGGTATCCCATAACACTACAGGAAGGGGAAAACACAAAAAAGCAAAGGAGGACCTCTTTAAAAACAAGATTGACAGGCAAGTTCTGGTGTTATACTATATAATATTTCTAAAGTGACTTATAGAGTGCACTTACACTAAGGGTTTGTAAGAAACTTCATTGCTTATTAACAGTTTGAAAAGTGAATGTATATAGATACAGGTCACAGGTTGTCAGGCGGAAAGGGGGTCTTAAAACAAGTTGTCTATGCTGAAAAAGGACACTGAAAAAATCTAAGATATAAGCAGGGGGAGGGAGAGATGATGCATGGCCGAATTTTAGTCCTCTATCCATCCTTACAGGAAATGGTGATGATGCACAGTGCATCCGGTTGACTTAGAATACACAGAGCAGTAAAAAAGGCAATATCAAGCAAAGACATTCATTCTGCAACAGTGCTGTCTGGGGCAACATCCAACGATGTGTGTATGAGTGTGTGAGAGACTAAGAGGCTCCATCTCTTCATCAGACACTAGCTTGAACTTTTGTTTTTATGATGATCTTATACTGACTATATCTCTCACTGAACTCTCGTCCGTCAGAATGAAGCTGAAGCCTGAGTTCAGTCAGGAAGACTGGCTGTATATTCACTCACTCCACAGCTGCATATAGAGTGGTGCAGTGACGAGTCCTAAAACCCGGAAGTGAGTTAGCATTTTAGCACTACCGGTTCCCTCGTCTCAGAACCAATGGGATTTCTCCATAGGATTTTGGAAGATAGCTGGAAATAAGGTCTGTGGTTGACACACATTTAAGAGACGGATCACGTTTGGTTCTACGACATAAAATACATCAGCAGTGACCCCACTGGTGATTTTTGATCAGCAAGCAAGTACCTGCCTCCTGCAAACTGTTAAAACAAACGCTTCAACTTGTATCATTTAGAATCTGTATGTTTGAATATCGATCTTAAGTTGGCGTGACGTTGAAGCAGCGACCCTGCTGTAGTTCGTTTTTTGGCATAACGTTAGCATTTTGCTTCTGGCGATTAGATTTATGATTCG